ATTCTGAGACTACGACGAAACCCGATCTTGTGGTGGCTAAAGACGGTTCCGGTCATTACACAAGTATCCAGGCAGCGGTAAACGCCGCAGCCAAGCTTCCTCGGAAACACAAGAGACTTGTGATATACGTTAAAGCCGGCGTTTACAGAGAAAACGTAGTGATCAAGAAATCGATCAAAGACGTGATGGTCATCGGAGACGGCATCGATTCTACCATCGTCACCGGTAGTAGAAACGTAAAAGACGGCACGACGACTTTTCGGTCCGCTACTTTTGGTACGTCGTCCGTGGTATATAGTATATAGTTGAGAAATGTCAAAAATACTTTTTAAAAGCAGTTTTTAATAAATCTATATCAACTCTTTTTACATGTTTCATAAATATATATATAGTAAAATACATATTTATGGGCTCATCCGATTGTAATAAGATTTTTAGTCTTAATAATTACTTTAAATGTTAAATTAGCTAAAGTTCAACTTTTTGGTGCTAGTAACCATTTCTCTCTAGAGTAATTTATTTAAAATTTTATTCGGATATAATTTCTTTTGGGGGTAAAGAATAATATTTTACTCTTCAAACGCAATAATTCTTGGACTAATTTTTAAGGTGGTTTTTTATATATTTTTTCCCGGCAAACACAGCTGTATCCGGCAACGGTTTTGTGGCACGAGGCATAACATTCGAGAACACGGCGGGACCGGAGAAACACCAGGCGGTAGCTCTCCGATCAAGCTCAGATTTCGCAGTCTTCTACGACTGTTCTTTCAAAGGCTATCAAGACACGCTCTACCTCCACTCTCGTCGTCAGTTCTTAAGAAACTGCAAAATCTACGGAACAGTCGATTTCATCTTCGGAGACTCAACCGCTATACTTCAAAACTGCAACATCCACGCTCGTAAACCGATGAGCGGCCAGAAAAACACGATCACGGCCCAGTCCCGCAACGACCCGAATGAAAGCACTGGTTTTGTCGTCCAGAGCTCTACGGTGGCCACGGAGGCCGAGACTTACTTAGGACGGCCGTGGAAGTCGTTTTCGAGGACAGTTTTCTTGAAATGTAATCTCGGAGGGCAAGTGAATCCGGCGGGATGGTTGCCTTGGAGCAGTGATTTTGCTCTGAGGACACTTTATTACGGCGAGTATGGTAATACCGGCGCCGGAGCAAGTGTTTCCGGTAGAGTTAAGTGGCCTGGTTACCATGTTATAAAGACGGCGACGGAGGCCGGGAAATTCACGGTGGAGAATTTCTTGGACGGAAATTATTGGATTACGGCTGCGGGAGTGCCGGTTAATGATGGGCTTTGACTTTGTATGTCGAGTCTTTTGGTTTTTTTGGCATGTGTGTCAGTGTGTGATGTTTATATATAGTTTTGCTTGGATCGTTTTGAATATACAATAAGACATTCGATGTAATGTGGGTTTGGTTTAAAGATTTGCTATACTACATACTTATGTTTTAATCTTTTAAAAGTTAGAATTGCAAGTGTCATTATTTAGAACATGGCTAACTTATAGATTAAAAGTAGCTTTTGTGTAATGTGAGGTGGATCTAGGGAAGGTTAACTAAGGAAAAACTTTACGAAGGATTTGAATAATGAATACAAGGTTTAAAGAATAAATTTACATAATACTAGTTCCAAGATTTAACTAGCTGCATATCATAAATTATGTCTACAAAATAAATAAATTTTGGCAGTTAAACTAGTTATTTGGGCGTCCAAAGTACCAATACAAACGTAAGCTCAAATTTTGCTTGTCAGTGAAATTAATGTGGCGTATCTTATAGTTATAGATTTTAATATATTAAGGTCTGTTGGTCATACTAGTTGGAGTTGGACACTACTTATATATTAGACATTTCTTGTCTAAACTTCTTGTGGCACTTGATTGATAAGCAAAGGTCCGATGATCAAAAATGTGTCTGAATATCCTAATCAGGTATATGTTAGAAAAGAACAAACAATACAATATACTTACGTCAGCTTGATTAATCATTTGATATTTGCATGTCATTAAGAACAAAAATAAGAAGATGAAGAATTGGAATCAATAGTACCGATGTCTACTCGGCTCCATCTATAATTTGGGCTTTGAGAGCTGTTAGATGATCCAGCAGTGTCGCCAACCCAGTCTATCTATAGTCTTATAGCCCGTTCACAATTTTGAGTTACAAATTGGGTTTAAAGACCTTCACAATTTTGAGACAACAGATAATCTTTAAACTTTATAGACTTTTCTCGTCTTCTTTTTTTGTCAACAGCCTTGATAGTTGATACCTAAACTCTAGAGACTTTTGTGTTATATATGTTGAACCTTAAGAAAAAAAAAAAAAATGTCTCATTCATTCTAGAATTTTGACAGAGATTCATATACAGTCAAATACTTCCTTGCAAAACACTAAAACACACTGAAACTGAAATTTTGATTTGAACTTAACAACATGATGAATTACATAGATAAGACATTTTGGCTGGCAATTGAATTTTAAAATTGGTAGGAGTTCCCCCAAACTAAGAAAAGGAAAAAACATGTTCGGAAGAAGAACACGTGTCAAACTATAAGCAATAAATCACAGGTAGATACATGAGAGATGGACCCTTGTGGGATGGTGACTAGAAACCAAAGGACAGTTTTTTCAGTGCGTCTCGTGAATCCTCTCTTCCACAATTCTGATACTTTTTTTGCTTTGTGTGGGCTTCTCTTTTTTTTCTCCTCTGATATACTACGACCACACTTTGACTATGTAAAACCATTCATACGTTTTTTATACTCTGTAGTATATGAGATCACTTCGTAGTCTTTTTATGGAACACTTTTTTCATATTTAACAGCAACATAATTGTTCACTTTTTCTTTCATCGGTGTCAAAAAAAAAATTGTTCACTAAAGATCTTATTGGTAAATCTTCATAAAAAAAAAAAAAAAATTATTGGTAAATGGTAAAGAAAACTCTTGTCGTTTGTATTTGGATTTACGGTTATCATTCATAATAGTTGAAAACTAAATCACCCATTAAATTTGCATTAGTGATATGTTAAAGGTATTTGATGGCATATTCTACTACCAGACGAAACTTTTTTCTTCAGTGACTCATGTTACTGCTTAGCTAAATATGAATAGTTTACAACGGACCTAACTTATTTGGTTGTATAATATATTATAATCATTGTCTTATTGGAAATGCATGAGGCGTAAGTCGGCAAGTGTGACAGAGTTTCTATTATGTCCTTTGTGTGCTATGCCAAAGAAATGGGATTTGTGGTCAATTTCAAAGGGGTCACGGGTTCTTATGTCTTCAACATATACTTCCAAACCATTTATGAATATATGAACATGTATAACTTGGTTTTGCTGTAATGAATTGGTTTGAAAACAACTGGACCAAACATTTTTGGTTTTGAAATTTTTTTGCTATATTGCATGAACAACTAAAAACGACTGATTTATTCACGTGTTCGGCTCATAAGTATTATAAACCAAATATATAAAAATATGAGCCAAGATGATTCACTTCTCATTTATCTGTTTGATGTCCCAAACTTTGATACCAGGTCAATGAAAATCTTCTCATAAACAACATATGTATAATAAGTATTAACGGTTGGCGTATCGAAATTATGAATAATATGTATACGAATCTTCGTTTGGTGAACCAAACACTCTATATGTATTATATAATATGTATTCCCGCACTTGAAACTATAACCATTAATAAATATACACGAAAAATAGTGACACACACTGACATTGTATATAGACACATATATACATATACTGATATATACACACATATATATATTTCCGGAAATGGGTAGAAAAAGGTATGTGTATGCACTTAAACATGTTGCAACCCATTGAATTAGCTCTATATATAGCTTGTCGGGCATTAACATAAAACATCCGTGTATTAGTGGTGGAGTTACAGCACATGCATACGTTAGCCATTAGCCCATTATATACTTCTTTTTATATAATATTATTAGCCATTACATCTCAATAATATGTTCGAAGTTACTATGCAAATTATACCTCAATAATTTGCCGCCAGGCGCACTATGCTCAAGTGGCGACATAATTTGTTAAAGGAGTGTGAATCCTTATGTCTTTAGTTCGATTATGATTTGGGACAAAGTCAGTAGTCGAGGCTGATTGTGTTGTGTAGTCCTTGGTTCTTGCAAAGCAAATTGTACTCTGGACCCCTTTCGGTTGAAAACTTTGTAAACTAAGCTTTCTCGATGGGGTACTTGTCTACTAGCATTGGTATTAGTTCGGTTAATCGGACATTTTAAGTCGGTAGAGACTGAGGTCCGCTTGAGGTAGGCTCCAGTCCTTATCCCCAGTCCATTGTAAATTTGTAATCATTGATTTGCGTTTTAAACTTTTAATCCAATCCATTGTGTTTTCAAGGCGTTTACAATTTTATTTTTCTATCAGTTTTAAATTTCCTTTTGCCCAAATTCTTCTTTAAAAAAATGTTTTATGGAGTATATTATCAACAATCAAACTAGCACACCAGGACAAACTTATCTTGTCTACTGAATTTAAAATTCGAGTGAAGTCAATTTCTTTTTGTCTTTTCCGATTAACAAATTTAAAAGTAAAAGTATTTTCTCAGCTCGCATGCAATTTGGTACATTCATAATGTTTTATTTATTTATTTGAAACTTTCTAAAACGATTCATACATATTGTACAAAACTACAAACTACAAAGACTAAAAGGACAAATAAATATAAAGAAAGTAATATACTACTAATTCTTTCCACAAACTTGTTTCTTTTTCGTATTTTCGACAAACGAAAAGCGTTAACAACTACAATAAACATTCCTATTCCATAACAGCCAATCACAAACAGAGCTTATCTTAATATATCTCTATCATGCACGCGTGAGAGAAACAAAAAAAAAAAAAAAAAAAAAAAAAAAAAAAAAACTATAAATTTATTTTATTTTCAAGTAAAAAAAGAAGAAGAATAAGAATATCTGATGAACAATGATCAATGTCTCGCCTTATCAACACATCGATTAACCAGAGCCAACGCATTGCTAGTCAACTTCTTGACGTCATCGACCCGTGCGCACACGTCATCTTTCCTCGGCTCATCGTGAACGTCTTTAAACCCGTCCGTACAAGTCTCCTCATCGGTCAAAGCCGCACTGAGCCAAGTCTGGACGTTACTCATCTGGAACCTGAACGACTCGAAAGAGCCAGTCGAGACCAAATCCCTCATCTGTTTCATCGAGCCTCTCATTTCATCGACCGCGTCTTTAAGATTCTCGAAGCAGTCGTGAAAAACAGCGGCTGCTCTCGGTTGGGCCCCATCTTCGTGTCTCTCAGGGAGAGTGGTGGCGTTGGCGAGGTATGTAGCCAAGTCGAGAGTCTTGGAGAGAGTGACGGAGATCGCGGCTCGAGCCAAGAGGGCATGGTCGTTGTGAACGGAGGTTGAGAAGTTTGAGAGAGTGGAGAAGCAGAGGTCAGGGTATAATGTGGTGCCGCAGCTCGCACGGATGAAATCTGATGAGTCGTCTGATGATGAAGAAGTTTGGGAATGGACGGTGAGGATTAATGGGAGGAGGGTTGCTAATGAGAAGAAGAGAAATGGTTGATGAAGAGAATGTTTAGTCATGGTTTTCTTCTGTTATGTGTGTGTGTGTGATGATGGTCTTTTGTGACAAGGAAGTGTTTCTTTTTGGGTAATGGATTGTTTTGGAGTTTGTGACCTCAAGTTGATATTTATATTGAGAAAGTAACACAAACAAGAGCGCTCTCGTGTTGTGCCGTCAAGCGAAGTAACGATTTGACGTTAGTACCCTCAGAAATTTTGGATGGTTTTTGGGAAAATGTTGATATGAGTCCATATGTGATGGACCGGGCCGAAATGGCGTATCAGATCGTTTTTGTTTGTGAAAACAGTACTAACATATATTTCAATGGACATGATTTCTTAAGAATGTACTCGACTCTACATTGGTCAAATTGTTCTCTCGTTTTGTACTCCATTTATTTGTTTACTTTCCCCAATAAGTTTGGCTTTAAAATTCTTTCAGAAGAAAAAGAAAAAGAAAAATAGATTTGTAGGCGCATTGAGCAAGGAAGATTAGATGCGTCGGTTTTGTACAAGTTGCAACTTGCAACATCCATCGCGTTACAAGTCAACCTCGTATTCCCCGCAATCATATCATATATGGCTATCATAATTAAATAGTATAGCTCAATTTGTCAACATGTCTTCGCTTCTCTTCTGTCCCAAGTTTATAGCATCCCATTCAGACTGAATCCTTTGGTTGCTAGAGTAGAGATTGAAGCGGATTCAGATTTGTTCGGAATAATGTTATATATTTCAATTAAAACATTCGTGTGTATTGATGAACATATAGTACATTTTGTTATTTATAAATAATTTTTGTTTAAAGTACTCGTATTAGCTTATTCAAAATTAAGTTGCATTTGTATGGCTAACGGAGTCTAGTTTGGCACATGTATACATTAGATTTTTGTTAATTTTTTTATATGTAGATGAAGTTGAATCGGTTCATTAATGTTATGACCAAAACCAACATACGTTTTTTTGGAGAAAAATGCTACTCAAAGCCAAACTTGGGATACTAAAAACTTGTGAATTATCTTGTGAGTACGTTATGTTATGATTCACTTGTGAAGAATTATCAATATCATGGATAGGGAAATCTTTACGTATGTCCTAAAAAGCCTAAATTATTGGGATAATAAAAACTGAAAATCAATCAATACATTATGAATTACCCGGCCGATGAATCGTCGTCATCAGTTATATATCCGACGTGGAAGCTATCCATTGGCTACTGTTTCTGGAATGCTAGTGGACTCTTTTTCGAGTATAAATAGTCCAAGACGCTCAGAGCAACAGAGGCCAACAAAGAGATAAATCAAATGGCGGGAAAATCCCTAATCGCTCCACTGATTATTTTCGCCATCCTTCTAATTTCGCCGGAGATATGCGCCGGACACGACTACGGCGACGCTCTCGGCAAGAGTATCCTCTTCTTCGAGGGTCAACGCTCCGGGAAGCTCCCATCAGATCAACGACTAGAATGGCGCCGTGACTCCGCATTACGCGACGGTTCCACTGCCGGCGTGCGTCTTCCATTTCCAAACCGTCGTCTCCGTTACAATCTGATCACTGAGATTTAATTTCGCTCTTTTTTTTTTTCTTTTTTCTTTCACCAGGTGGATTTGACGGGAGGCTACTACGACGCCGGAGACAACGTGAAATTCGGTTTCCCGATGGCCTTCACGACGACAATGCTGTCGTGGAGCGTCATCGATTTCGGGAAAACGATGGGACCGGAGCTGAAAAACGCCGTGGAAGCGATCAAATGGGGAACGGATTATCTCCTGAAAGCGACTCAGATTCCGGGAGTCGTCTTCGTCCAAGTCGGAGACGCTTACTCCGACCACAACTGCTGGGAACGTCCCGAGGACATGGACACGCTGAGAACGGTTTACAAAGTCGACAAAGACCATCCTGGTTCCGAAGTCGCCGGCGAGACTGCCGCCGCTTTAGCCGCCGCTTCGATCGTGTTTCGAAAACGCGATCCAGCATACTCCAAACGGTTGCTGGACCGAGCAGCAATGGTACTTTTACACTTTAACGTTCTTTTCATTTTTTTAAATGATTAGGAAAAAAAACAATAATCTTGAATTTGTCAAAAAAAAGTTTATACTTTGCTTGTGCCAGAAATATTCTCCATATGTTTTGTTGTTGGTTTTAAATTATGAAACATTTTCACGTATAAATAGAGTTTGGACCTTTTTTGTGTGACATTTACGAAAAAATGACTAATTTACTGTATGAAAAAAATGTAAATAAACGCAGGTGTTTGCGTTTGCCAATAAGTACAGAGGAGCGTACAGTGATAGTCTTTACCAAGCAGTGTGTCCATTCTACTGCGATTTCAACGGTTATGAGGTATAATTAATTACTATGATTAGGTTTCATTATCAACTAAAACGTTAGATATTGATTGAGGTTGAGATTGGTGGTGATGCGTGTGCAGGATGAGTTGCTTTGGGGAGCGGCATGGCTACACAAAGCTTCAAAGGAACGAGTGTACAGAGAGTTTATCATGAAGAACAAAGAGATTCTAAGAGCTGGAGATACGATTAACGAGTTTGGTTGGGATAATAAACATGCTGGGATTAATGTCTTGATCTCCAAAATGGTACTGATGGGAAAAGCTGACTATTTTCAGAGTTTTAAGCAAAACGCTGATGAGTTTATCTGTTCTTTATTGCCTGGAATTTCTAACTCTCAAGTCCAATACTCGCAAGGTAAAAAAAAATTCAAAAGGTTTTGCTTAATTTAATATATAGTTTTTCTTTGCATATTTTTAATTAATTATTTACTTATGCAATAGGAGGACTATTAGTGAAGAGTGGAGGGAGCAATATGCAGCATGTAACATCATTGTCGTTTCTGTTACTAGCATATTCTAATTACCTAAGTCACGCAAATAAGGTGGTGCCATGTGGCGAATTCACAGCTTCTCCCGCTCTTCTCCGTCAAGTTGCTAAGCGTCAGGTAACTTAACTACTTTAACTAACATTCTTCTCTGTTTTTAGCACTGAGATTAAATTAGACTAAACTAACCCAAGTGTTTTTGCTGTTTTGGATGCGTACGTTAACACAGGTGGACTACATATTAGGAGATAATCCGATGAAAATGTCGTACATGGTTGGGTATGGTTCGAGGTTTCCACAGATGATTCACCACCGTGGAAGCTCGGTTCCTTCAGTCGTGGACCATCCTGCTCGCATAGGGTGCAAAGATGGTTCTCAATATTTTCTTAGTCCGAGCCCTAACCCTAACCTACTAATTGGCGCCGTTGTAGGTGGGCCTAATGTCACTGACGATTTTCCTGATTCGAGGCCTTACTTTCAGCTGACTGAGCCCACGACTTACATCAACGCACCTCTCTTGGGTCTTCTTGGTTACTTCTTAGCACATTCTTGATTGTTTTTTTTTTTTGTAAACAAAGGCTTAGCACATTCTTGATTTTCTCATCCCAAAGGATGCTATATTGATGTATGCTCGTTAAGAGTCTAGAGGTGTGCAACTGATGATAACTAAGGATATACTTGGTCACATTGAGCTGGTTCTCGCTGAAAGAAGCTGCAAGTGTCAAGTGTCAAGCGCTCTATTAATTCAAACAACGTGATACGTATCTTGAAGAAGTTAGAGCATCTCCACTAGAACAGAGAAAAATAATGTTTTGCCAAAGGGAAATGCTTATGGCATGCAGACACAAGTCTTGTTTTATAGTCTTTGTCTTAGGACTTTGCGAAAGTCATTAGTTGGTTTTACCATTCAACAAGTCTAAACTGATCCATAGTGTTTGTCTAGATACTTTTTGTTTTAAGTTGTTGGTCGTTTTTCTTTTCCATCCAACAAGCCTTCTTTAAGCCATCAATCCTTTTTTACTAAGCCCTGAGTTGTAAAAACAGATCATGTTTTCGTTTTAGTCTCTGTTTTAACACTGATCTGAGACAATTGGTCATTTTTTCCAACAAGATGACCAAAATCAACTCATGGTTTTTGTACTAAGGCTTTCTTCAGCCATTGGTCGTTAATATCCATCCAAATAATAGTCTTTGACTTCTTTTAAGCCGTGTGTGTATCTCAAAGACATAGTTCTCAGTTCATAATCTTTTTCTGAGAGCTTGTGTTGGTCGTTTTTTTCCTAACCATCCAACTTATAGTCTTTGTCTACTTTTAAGCCGTAAAGACATAGTTCTTTCATAATCTTAGTCTGAAGACTTCTTTCAGCCTAGTGTTGGTCGTTTATCTTCCATCCAACATGTCTTACTTAAGCCATTAGTTGCTCTTTTCTTTTTTGACATCGTACAAGTCCAAAGACGTTTTCAAAGCAGCTGGTCGTTTTATCCATCCAGCATGTATATCTCTGTCAAAAGATACTTCCAAGCCGTGGGTACTAAAACTGATCTATTGTCTTTGCCTGAAGACTTTTGTAAGCCGTGGGTAGCTAAGGTAAGGGACCTGTTTTCGATTCATAGTCTTTGTCTAGTCTTTTCTGAGCCGTGTGTTGTGTTTTCTATACAGCTCAATACGTTTCAGTCTCTTGTCTTAAGAAAGATTTGAGAAAAATTGGTTTCTCTAAGCCGTGGGTAGTTATTTTTCTATCCATCAAGTCAAGTACCCTTGTCTTTGTCTAGAGACTCTTCATAAGCCGTGAGTGGTAATGAAAGAACCTGCTTCAGTCTCTTGGCTTAAGACTGATTAAGAAAATTAGTCCTTCTTTCCAACAAAATGGAAACCAACTTATAGTCGTTGTCTTAAGACTTCTCTTTAAGTTGTGGGTTGTTATATTTTATCCATCAAGTCACATACCCTTGTCTTTGTCTAGAGACTTCTCATAAGCCGTTAGTGATAACGAAACCAGTTTTAGTCTCTTGTCTTAAGACTGATTTTTCAGAAAACTGGTCCTTCTTTCCAACAAAACGAAAACCAACTTAAAGTCTTTGTCTTAAGACTCTCTAAGCCGTGGGTTTTTAGTTTTCTATCCATCAAGTCAGTAGAGACTTTTCATAAGCCGTGGCTGATAATGAAACCAGTTTCAGTATCTTGTCTTAAGACTGATTTCAGAAAATTGGTCCTTCTTTCAATCAAAGTAAACACCAACTCAAGTCTTTCTTTTTGAGTTTTTCAGCCGTTGGTAGTTATATCCATCCAACTCAAAGTCTTTCTTTTTGGGTTTTTCAGCAGTTGGTCGTCATATCCATCCAACTCAAAGTCTTTCTTTTTGAGTTTTTCAGCAGTTGGTCGTTATATCCATCCAACTCATAGTCTTTGACTCTTTGTGATTAATAGTTCTCACTTCATGCTTCATAGTCTTTGTGTTAAAGACTTCTCTAAAGCCGCTGGTGGTTTTAATTTCCATCCAACCACTTAACTTTAAGCCAAGTGAGTCGTCTTCCCCATCCTACAACCCGACTCATACTCTTTGTCTTAGGACCTTTACAAAGCATCTGACTATTCCATCATGTCTAAAAACCGAGCCATTGTGCTTTGGCATATAGACTTTTGTTTGTAAGCAGTGGGTACTTTTTAGAGTAGGGATCTGTTTTCAAGTCAAAGACTTATAGCCTTTAATACTTTCTTAAACCCTCGTTATATCCTCCATTGTCCCTCATTGTTGCACTATACTATTTGTCTTTAGGTAGTAGAGTATATCTGTTTTTCCTTTTTGTCTATAAAGAATTTTTAAGCCATGTCTTACTTTTCATCTTCGTGAGACATGCACTACCAACCATACTGTACATACCATGCACAACCATACATCATCGAGACAGACCATGCACTACCAACCATACATCATTCGGGACAGACCATGCACTACCAACCATACATGAAAATAATAATAATAATCATCATCAACATCGATGTTAATTCCTGAAAATAAGTAAAGAATCTCTTACCTATGAGAAGTGATCACATGTGTTCCACGTTGTAAGGCAATTAGCTCCGGCCTCTAATAGCAATGACTCATATTTGTTGTCCTTCTGAATGTGATATGCGCACACAAGATGGTTTTATTTTATCAAAATTATTAGAGAATTGCTACAACAAGAACGAAGTAAACTTTGGTTACGGATAGAACTACAAGGAAACCAAAAGACAATCACGGTTCTTGTTGTTTCTATGATTACTTATTAAGAAAATACAGTAAATTCCCATACAAGTATCCCAAAAACCAGAAGTTAAGGAAAGGAATAAGAATTAAACACAAGTGAGAGATTCTTACCTTCATGGTTGAGTAACAAAATTGAACCTTCATTGTTGCCCATGCCAAATTGGTTCCATGATTCAATTATGAGTGTTCAAAGGTGCGGAATCTGGTATGCGGGTGGGCCTAATTGCTCCTCAAAGGAATTTGGGAATTTTCTTAAAAACCTAAAAAGAATCGATATGTTAAATTATTGCAAAACAAGAACGAAAAAGCTAAAACTTTCAAAATCATGGACAAATCATGGACGAAATTCGGAATAGAAGAATTTACCTTGACGGTGTGAAAAGAAGCATTAATTTTACTATGTAAACACAAACAACACTTTTCTAATTTGGAAACAACATTTGTGTAATACAGTTTTTAAAAAAAAATTAGTGCATATAGGTTCATTTGATAATGGATTAGTAGCAGGTATAAACAAATTACCTTTTTTTAATCATGGTGAGAAATGGGAGAAAAGAGTAATTATTATTTGATGACCAAACTAAAGCCTAAAAAGTGTAAAATTAGGAATTTGTCTTTAGTCAGCTGCTTTCCGCTAAAACAAGAACGCTATTTTGTCTCATACACACGCCTCACACTCACCTCTAAAAATCCTTGTTTCCGAAAATATCATCTCTTTCTTCCTCTCTCAGACATTTCGTCAAACAGATGGTGCTCGCTCTGAAACAGTTAACGAACTAATCTAAAGCACTCACTAGTTTGGTAAGAAAGAGGAAGAATTGAAAACAAGGGGCTTAGCCGAGTGATGTGAGAGCGAGTGAGCGAGAGAGAGAGAGAGAGATGGAAGGAGTTGAGCTGGAACTAGAGAGAAGAAGCAAGTTCTTGAGCAGCTTGATACAGAAGAAGAAAGCGAAAGAGCAGCAGGATCAGAAAGAAGAGTTCAATGTTCGAGTTAGGGCTTCCGATATGCCTTTGCCTCAGCAGAACAGGGCCTTCTCTTTGTCGCGTGAGCTCTTGAATGCCACGCCTGGGAAGGCCGACAACAAAAGACTCGCTCTTGCCCTTAAAAAGGTAGATCCTTTGTCTCTCTTCTGATTCCTCTCTGTTTCTCGCTTAAAAATCGCGTCTTTGATCGCATTGTGGAGTGAGTTTTGAAATTTTGACACAGATACAAGAAGTGTGGTACTTTTGGGGTCCTAGGGCTACGTATCTAGTCGTATGGTTTCTGTATGCTGTGGTATAGATCTTGATTCAATTGAAGATGTGTACGAATCTGGAATTTCGATTTTGACTTGTCGTACTTGCATTTTGTTCAACTTCTTCATAGATGGTCCCATATTTATTCTGGCTTTCATTTAGGTTACATACTGTAGTTGTCATTTCTTGACTTGGTAGTTTTTGTATTGCGAAGATTAACTTTAGTATGAGTCTCTTTTGTGGTAATTCTTGAAACTGGATGTTTATGATGTTTATTGAGATGATTTTGGAGCTGACTTGACTTATGAGACCTAGCATGCAACATCTGCTATCTTGCATTTCTAGAAGCTTTTTACCTGTCTTATATTTAGAGTTAGATGCTTCCTGATGATAACTCAGGAAGCAGTTTTTGCTTTAGGACCTGAGCCTTGCCTAAATACAGACTTTTAAAGGACTGGGTTGTCTTCTGATATGCTGGTTTAGCATTACTACTCCATATACATGCCTACATTTATTCTGCGTTTGCATAGTGTGTTGCTTAGGGTTTGATGATTAAGACTTTAAAATCCGAGGATATTGTTCCTTATTAGAGGCATTGATTCTTAGTTTTTAATTGTATCTTATGGACCGAAATGGAACACTTTGGTGCTTATAATTTGTGATATTCGACTAGGTAAAGGCATTTATTTCCACTCGCTGTCCCATGTGGATGGAAGTTGCAAACTTTTAATGATCCATGTGGAAAATAATATAGTGTTCACTCACTGTTAGCAGATTGGTTTAATAATTAGCATATGAGTCTGATTCTGTTGTTTAACTTGTTTAATCTTCCTGTTTGTTCTGATAATTGATCTCTTAATCTCGAAGAGACCTTTATATGTTTCTTCTCTTGTTTTTCTCCTAACTTCAGCTTCTATGTTAGCGACGTAAGTGAGTCTTACTGACCGTTTATTAAACAACATGTTGCAGCGAATATCATCTTGCATCAGATGTATGTAAAGCTTTACTTTTGCTCTTACTCATGAAACAGTTTTCCAATCTGTCTTTTACATTTCAGGACTTTGATTCTGCTTATGGCCCGGCATGGCACTGCATCGTTGGAACCAGTTTTGGTTCTTACGTCACTCATTCCATTGGAGGATTCATATACTTTCAGATCGACAAGGTCTATGTTCTTCTCTTCAAGACTGCTGTAGAGCCTTTAGATCACCAATGAGAAAGTTGATCCATTTATAAAGAGAGCATTTTCTATAATCCTTCCCTACTTTATCCTGTATTCACACTCTATGTAATTCTTGAGTTCGATTGTATTAGTCTTGCAAGACAAAATATGTATTAGTCCAGAATATGTTTGTGACTCTCTTGTGTAATTACAAATTTCTCATGTGTATGAATGGTTTCGACTTCTTCACAGTGAAATTCATCATCTTCTTCTTCACTCTATTAGGTGCTTTTTGCTGTTAATTGATGTATGTTTGTTTATTGTCATGTCTTGCAAGACAAAATCTTTGATGCAAATTGTGACTTTTTGTGTAATTACAAGTGAATTTTTTCTCTATGTGAATGGTTAAAGACTTAGGGTCTGATGGTTTAACCGCTGCGGTTGCGGTTGCGGGAGTTTGCGGCTGCGGGAGTTTGCGGAAGCGGGAGTTTGCGATTAAAAGCTGTTTGTACGACTGGTATAGCAATTCATAGCGGTTGCGTTTGCGGGATATTTTTGACTGGTTAGCCAGCGGGTGCAAGAACGGTTTAACCAAAAGTTACTAAAATAAAAATAATATATAATTATTCAAAACATTTATAACCATATTAATAATTTTTTTTTTGAAATATATTTTTTGATGAATTTTTAATTTGAAAACTACCCTTTTTTTTTGGTTTTGAAAAATACACTTTTTATATGTAAAATGATTATTCCTAATTTAATAAAAACGAAATTCAAATAAGAAATATAAAATATTAATATTTGATAATAATTTTGTATCATTTTAACATCCTAATTACCTGTTTAGTTTTTTTTTAAACAATTTAATAAAAATATAAGATTGTTTATATAAAGTTTAAATGGGGTGAGATTAAAGTTGTTTATGCAAAGTTTCAAAAATATTTAAATTTTTCAAAAGATAAACATTAAAAATGAAAGATATATTTCTCCACTTTTAAATTTTTAATAATTTATAAACTTTAAATATATGTAAAGTTTTAATTTATTTAAAGTTTCATTTGGTTTGAATGTGTATGAGGTTAAGTTGTTTATATAAAGATCCAAAATATTAAAATTTGTTTCAGTTTAACATATACTATATTTATTTGAAAAAAAACTTATTAGTTTATTATTTTTTTAAATTTTCGTTTATAATTTGTAATTATTTATTATTTTTAAATCACGTCAAAACATACTTTTTACATTTTAAAAGTGTATTTTTCAAAACAGAAAAAATTTAGGGTATTTTCGAAATTTTTAAACATAATTATGGTATTTTTCAAAAAAATATACCCTTATTCCAAATTTGGAGATATTATGTTTTTTTTTTTTTTTTTTCAAACCGCAACCGCCCGCAACCGCAAACGCTTGCGGAAAGGAGCTTTTGATTTTCAGCGATATAGAGCGGTACAGAGTGGTATAGAGCGGTTGAAAGCGGTTGTCGTGATTGTTATAAAACGCTAAGAACCGCTACGAACCGCAAACGCTGCGTTTGCGGGTGGTAGCGGGAGAACCAATCATCACCTTAAAGTCATCGTCGTCTTCTTCTTCTTCTTCACTTTTCGGTACTTTCTGTTAATTTTTGTAAATTCTTTTACCATAAAGAAGCTTGTTTGTTGCTGTTAAAAAACTCTCCTTTTTCGCTCACGAAAGTCGTAAACTTTAAACCCAAAACCTACACTGTTGTGGGCAGAGGAAGGAAATGGATCAATCGCAGCGCACAGTCGCTGCTGCTACGCCTTCGTCTTCTCGATCATACCAGTTCCACCCTGCGCGTGTCGCAATTATCGATCTTTTCAATCTCTACTTAGGAGTAAATCTCCATTTCCATCTCCATCTCCATCTCCGTCTCTTCTTCAATCCTGTTCTCCAATTCCAATTCCGCTGCTGATTTTACACTTTTGTTTTACAGAGAGGAAACCGCCAAAAGCCCGATGAATCCGCCAGAGATCCTCCGTAAGCTTTTCTTCCCCACTCCAAGATCCTACCTTTGCTTCAATTGCAATCGATTCCGACAAAAACCTATTGATTTTGTGGCAGGAACAAATCCCAGAAGCGTGTTCACGCTCCTAACAGAGACTCACCTCCGAGAAACGAGCAATTCATTTCCGATTTCGAGCAGCTTCAGAGCCAATTCGATGTAAAGCCTCGTCCTTTAACATAAATAAAAAAACAAATCTTTCTCTTGTGATTTTGCTCATTTCGAACTCTTTAATCAGGATCCAGACCAACTGAGGACAATCACGGAATCAGTTTTGATATCTATGGTGATGCAATGTAGCAATCACGTACCTCGTGCTGAGTTTCTTCTCTTTGCTCTTCGTACATTATGTAGAATAAGTTACATCAACTGGGACACGTTTTTACCGTCTCTTCTCTCTTCCGTTTCCGCTGCTGAAGCGTCCATAAGCCAAGCTGCTCAAGCAGCGGCTGGTTCTTCTGCTACTTCTTCACAGTTACCTTCGAATGCTGTCCCTAGCTCGTCTAATTATCATTCCACCAATCAAACCTCACTGTTGTTGCCTTCAGCTCACGGTATTGGTTCTCCATCACCTTCAGGAAACGAGCCAGGTTCTGTCACTGCTTTGGTGAGAGCTTCGGATATTGCAAGAGCAGGCCAAACTGTGAGAGACAATGCTATGAGAAACAATCAACGCGTGAGAGCTGCGGCGATAAACTGTCTCCGCCAGCTCAGTTGCAAGATTATCTTGATCGGCGTTGAATCTAGTCTCAAACCTGTGACTCACGCCGAGGTTTTCCAGTACATGATTAATTGGCTTCTGAACTGGGACAGGAGAGATCTGGGGACTGATGACTCTTCGTGGAGATCTGAGAAGACTTTAGCTGAATGGTTGAGGAGCTGTTTGGATGTGATCTGGCTGTTGGTGGAAGAGGGTAAATCTCGGATTCCGTTTTATGAGCTGTTGCGCAGTGGCCTGCAGTTTATAGAGAACATACCTGATGATGAAGCCTTGTTCACTCTTATCATGGAGATACACCGGAGGCGAGACGAGATGGCCAAGCACATGCTCATGTTGGACCAACACCTTCACTGTCCAACGTTTGGTACTCATCGCATATCGTCTCAGACAACTGCTAACGTTTCAGTTGAAGCTGTGGCACACCTTCGCTATTCACCGATTACATATCCAAGTGTGCTTGGGGAGCCTCTGTATGGAGAGGTGATTCCCATGAAGTTATGAAAGATTTAGTTTCATAGCGTAATTCAAGGCAATATTGTGAATTTCAATCCTGTTTTTCTTTTTCACTCTGGCAGGATCTGGCGATGTCTATTCCAAAAGGAAGCCTGGATTGGGAGAGAGCAGTGCGTTGCATTAGACATGCTATTCGCACTACACCATCGCCGGACTGGTGGAAACGTGTTCTTGTTGTGGCCCCAACTTATAGACTTCAAGCACAAGCAGGGCCTATCCCTGGTGCAGTTTTCACTTCTGACATGATCTGTGAGGCAATCATTGACAGGATTGTTGAGCTTCTTAAGCTGACCAACTCAGGCAATGTTTGTCTTCCCCTATCTCTCATGTCTTTGATCTGTCACTTGCTTTTAAGGTCCATTCGGTAGGGTTAGATAGAAAAAGATAAAAGTAAGACTTGAGATACCAACTATACTAGGACTGGTTTGGTATTGATTTGGTATCTGTTGCTTTTCCCTCCTCTCTGTGCAGATGCAAATTGCTGGCAAGACTGGCTTGTTTTCTCAGATATATTCTTCTTCCTAATCAAAAGTGGGTGTACTGATTTTGTTGATTTAATTGATAAGTTGGTGTTACGCCTTAACGGTGCTGATAATCATATTCTTCGAACGAATCATGTGACATGGTTGCTTTCGCAAATCATACGCGTGGAGCTTGTGATGACTGCTTTGAACTCTGATCCTAAAAAGGTCGTTGCTCAATAACAATGATATGTTTGCAGCTGCAGTTCAATTACTTGTAATTTCCTTTTCCTCGAACTTGACATCACAACTCGGGCTCTCTTTGGGTTTTTCTCTCAGGTGGAGACTACTAGGAACATCTTATCATTTCACAGGGAAGATAGAAATTCTGATCCCAATAATCCTCAGAGTGTGTTGCTTGACTTCGTAAGCAGTTGTCAGAATCTACGTATTTGGTCACTAAGTGCAACAACTCGGGCATACCTAAACAATGAACAACTGCTGAAGGGAAAACAGATCGATGAATGGTGGAGGAGCAAAGGTACATAAGGTTTCAATGGCAGTGTTTGGAGTAGGAAGCCGAGAGCATTCCCGATTATGAAAACTGTCCTCTCATTCTGTTTCTTGTTTAGTGATTTCAGGAGAGCGCATGATGGATTATATGAATATGGATGATAGGTCGATAGGCATGTTTTGGGTTGTTTCCTACACCATGGCGCAACCGGCAAGTGAAACCGTTATGAATTGGTTATCTTCAGCTGGCGTGGCTGAGTTGCCTGGATTAACACCAAACGAGAGAGTAATGATGACGCAGGAAGTGACCCCACTACCGATGTCACTATTATCTGGCTTTTCAATTAACTTGTGCTTGAAATTGGCCCTTCAAATGGAAGAAGCTTTGTTCGTTAGCCAGGTTTGTTTCCTTTGGTCTCACAAGGATTTTATATATTTGATATTTGGAGAACATCTTCTTTGAATTTTTTTACTTAGTGGTCTGTTTTCTCCTAGGTTGTTCCTAGCATTGCAATGGTTGAGACATACACAAGATTGCTGCTCATTTCCCCTCACTCGATGTTCCGTTCGCATTTCAGTGTAAGCTATTTGGTTCCTTCGTCTGCCTTTTGATTCTCCTAATCTTATCATTTATCACTGTTGTCTATTGATCATAAGCGATTCATGAGATTGGCTAACTTTATGTAGCAATTGGCCCAGAGAAATGCTTCTCTGCTAAGCAAGCCTGGGGTGACTTTGCTTGTTCTTGAGATTCTGAACTATCGTTTGCTTCCGCTGTACAGGTAAAATGAGCAAAAAGTTCTCAAGTTGGAGTAGATTCTTCTACCTTTTCAGCTAAAGTGATTAAACTGTTCTTATCGATGCATCTTTTGCAGGTATCAAGGAAAGAGCAAAGCTTTAATGTATGATGTTACTAAAATAATTTCTGCTCTGAAAGGAAAACGTGGCGACCATCGTATATTCAGACTAGCTGAAAATTTATGCATGAATCTCATTTTATCACTCAGAGACTTCTTCTCTGTGAAACGTGAAGGCAAAGTAAGTGATCTTTTTTCGAATTGAAACTCCCTGTCCCCTGCTATTTTGTGCTAGGATGGTGATTCAGGTGTAAATAATTGTTCTTGTGTAATTCTCATCAGGGGCCAACTGAATTCACTGAAACATTAAACCGCATAACCATCATGACTCTTGCTATCACAATCAAAACACGGGGTATCGCAGACGCTGATCACCTGGTTTATCTGCAAACCATGTTGGAACAAATACTCGCGACGAGTCAGCATACGTGGTCAGAGAAGACGCTGCGCCATTTCCCATCCCTCCTCCGTGACACTTTGAAAGGACGTGTAGACAAGAGGAGCCTATCAATCCAGGCGTGGCAACAGGCTGAAACAACTGTGCTAAACCAGTGCACTCAGCTTCTCTCGCCATCTGCTGAGCCCGACTACGTAATGACATACCTCAGTCACAGCTTTCCTCAACACCGTCAGTATCTATGCGCTGGTGCTTGTCTGCTGATGCAGGGCCATCCTGATAAGATCAACAGCGCCAATCTGGTTTGTTTTGCTTTAGTCTCTTCACATTTTTTGAACAGATTGTTAAAATGATAGTGGTGTGATTTTCTTCTTCGAAACGATGATCAGACACGTGTTCTGGGAGAAGTTTCTCCTGAAGAAGTCACTTCTAACATATACACATTGGTAGACGTTATGCTTCACCACGTTCATGTAGACCTCCAGCAAGGACTCACTTTAAAGGTTCCTCTTCTGTGTTTTTTGTCTGAAGAGACCGACCTCACTTTTCGTTGCTTGATCCATCTTCTTACAGTGCATCCTAATATTTTTCCTTCAGGATGCTCTACTCAAGCACGGTGCAAATCTTGCATTTTTCTTCTGGACGCACGAAATACTTCCTCTCGACATTTTTCTTCTGGCGCTCATTGACCGTGATGATGATCAGCACGCCTTGATAATTGCAGTATGTTCATGCTTTTTACGTGAAATAAGCTTAAGATGTTATAAGATTTATGGATGTTGTTTTCAATTTTATTTACAGATAAGCCTACTTGAAAGGCCAGAGCTTATGCAGAGGATTCAAGTCTACTGCACAAACCGTGGGCCTCCTGAACACTGGCTTTTCACGCAGGTTTTCAAACGCAATGAACTCCAGAAGGCCCTTGGTAACCATCTTTCTTGGAAGGACAGGTAATGTGTGATGAAACCTTCCATGATAACTTGGCAAATTGCGTGTGAACTGGAATTCTGTTAAAATTTTGGAATGTGTTGATTGTGTTAAACCCAGGTACCCAACGTTCTTTGATGATATTGCGGCGCGTTTGCTTCCAGTTATCCCTCTAGTGGTGTACAGGCTCATCGAGAACAATGCGATGGAGGCAGCTGATAAAATTTTGTCAACCTACTCAAATTTTCTGGCTTATCATCCTCTCAGATTCACGTTTGTTCGTGATATACTTGCCTATTTCTATGGTTATCTTCCTAGGAAGCTTGTTGTGCGCATTCTCAAAGTGCTTGATCTTAGCAAGGTAATATGTTGAATTCTCAAAAGTCTGAGAAGTTCTATGTTGTTTTCCTGTTTCTCACCATTTGATATTTGTTGCAGATTCCATTCTCTGAATCATTCCCACATCACATCAGCACTTCCAATGCCCCTACATGCCCGCCTCTAGACTACTTCGCAGCTCTTCTGCTTAATCTCGTAAACAACGTTATACCTCCACTTAGCAGCAGCAGCAACTGCAGCTCGAGGTCTGGCTCAGCGGCAGACATCTTAAACAGCTCAGCGAGACCTCCTCATGGAAAAGTTCCAGGACCAGCTCAGCCCGGACCACCAAACGCCTCTGAGGGACAGAAAGCATTCTATCAGATCCAGGACCCGGGAACCTACACTCAGTTGGTTCTTGATACGGCCGTGATCGAGATCCTCTCACTTCCCGTCTCCGCTTCTCAGATTGTCTCTTCGCTTGTCCAGATAATTGTCAACATACAATCCACGCTTATTCAATCTGGCAACGGCTTCCAGGGTGCTGCAAATGGTGTGGGGCAAGGTTCGGTACTGCCTACGTCTCCCTCAGGAGGGAGCACGGACTCCATGTGCGCAAGCCGGTCCACAGCGAGCTTTGTCTCAAGAAGCGGTTATACATGCCAGCAACTGTCGTGTCTGTTGATTCAAGCTTGTGGGCTTCTGCTGGCTCAGCTCCCTCCAGATTTTCACACGCAGCTTTACATGGAGACGTCACGTGTGACAAAGGAAACATGGTGGCTTACTGACGGGAAGAGATCGGAAGGTGAACTAGTCTCTGCTGTTGGATATGCTTTGATGGATCCTACATGGGCTGCTCAGGACAACACCTCCACAGCCATTGGTATGCTCTATAGCTTCTTGAATCCATACGTGAATGTTTGTTGGTTTGTATGATATGCTGTTGTTACATGTGGTATCATTGTGTCTCCTTCCAGGAAATATAGTCGCACTGCTTCATGCTTTCTTTAGCAATCTCCCACAAGAATGGCTTGATGGCACGCATGTCATCATCAAGAACCTCAGGCCTGTGACATCTGTTGCAATGCTCAGAGTCGCGTTCCGTATTATGGGGCCACTACTCCCAAGGCTTGCCAACACACATACACTCTTTAACAAGGTACTCTTATAACATAATTGGCATGATCTTCCATTTCTAAAACTCGACTATGTGCTTCGTTCTTGTCTAATTTATGAATTTGGTAAATCTTGTTCTGTTTCTCAACAGACGCTAGCCCTTCTCTTGAGCACACTGGTCGATGTTTTTGGAAAGAACTCGCAGACAACGGTCCCTGTGGAAGCATCCCAGATTGCAGATCTTATCGATTTCCTGTAAGTTTCTAAATTACCATAGCAGATCATTGACTCATTGTCCAAAAGTTTCCCTGCAACATATTTTCTTGGCATGGTTAATGGAAACCTTATGTTGTTGTTGGTCTGCGTCTGTGGTCTTGAGAGGGGTTGTTAGGATGAGAAAGTGTCAATTTGTGAGACTCTGTTTCATATTAATGAGCTTGTCGATCTCAAACTGTTGCAGACACCATGTTGTTCACTACGAGGGACAAGGAGGAGCTGTACAAACTAGCAGCAAGCCGAGACCAGACGTCTTGGCGTTAATCGGAAGAGCAGCAGATTCTCTGAGACCAGATGTACAACACCTTCTCTCTCACCTCAAAACCGATCCCAACTCTTCGATATATGCAGCTGCTCATCAGAATACAGCAAAGACCAGTACCTCTTGAAAGCAAAACACTCAGATAATGGAGGCAGACGCAGAATCGTAGAGAGATACAAGCACAGAGGCAAAGTGTTACAGCTAATTTTGTTTGTTTTGTGTATATGTATAACATTTCGTTTCTCTGATTTTTGTAATATTAATTAGAAATTCATCTCAAGCATTTTGAAATCACAAAAAACGATTGCCTGAAAAAAAATTCTAACAACCAAAGATTTAGAATTATTTTAATAAATAGCTAGTTGAATAATGGTCGATTTTGATTGATTTAAAAAAATCTGAATATGCACATGAATGTCAGAATGTGTCATAATTCAAATAATGCTTTTTTAAGAAAAAAAAAAGAAGAAGCTAAATATGTTTTTTTATGGTTATTAATCTTTTTGTTGTAAAATTATTTTAACCGGAAGTATAATACACAATCATTACAAAAACTATTACAATTTCACATCATGTGTAAGTGTAACACACATGCTAGTCATAAATATTCATTTGTAGTGAAGAGAACAATGAATTGGGTTGTAGGATTTAACGTTCTCTCTCTTTCTTGTCACGGGAAGAAGAAGAAGATCTTTGTTTCTCCAATTTTCTGAAAAGGCTGCCATCGTAAGCACCCCTTGCTATCTCTTTCGTCACTAAACCATTCTTGTCGTGGCATAACTCATGTAATAGTTTCCATTCTAAATATGATGAAATCCTGTGTATCATATAATATGATCCAAGTATAGTTAATAAGCATCGTACCTGCCATATGTATAATTTAACTGAAAACATATATGCTGAAGATTGTAAAATTATGTATCGTTGTTTAATACTTGTATAAAATTCTTTCAAGAAACTTTTTAATGTTCTCAATAATTCTTGAAAGAAACAAAAGCGTATGTTTAAAGCGTATATGTATAGAAAAAGAAAAGAAAAAACGAACCATCCTCCGAAATCCTTAGGCTCCCTATTTTTCTTGAGCAATTGTTGAATTTCCTTGTAAGTGAGAGCGTTTTTATGTGTTTTAGCATGCTTCTTGAATATCGCCTCGAATTTTGATTCATCAAAGCTACAAAAGTTCAGAAGGAGAAATCATAGTTAGTAGAGTTATTATTTGTAATCACGAAAACACGCACACACACATAAGTTGTACGTAGCATATAAAGGTTTAAAGAAAAGATGTTTTAGGAAGAGAAATACTTTCCATCCTTGTCGTAGGCGTTGGTGTCACTACCATGCATTCCAAAGCGACTATTCTTCACTTCTATTGGAAACAACGGCGAGAAACCCTTCCCCTATATCACTTTCACAATGGCTTCATATTTAATGCAAGAATATATATCCAAATTTGTTTAAAATAAATTGAGTGCACAGCCAAACTGTTATAATATCCCTCGTTAGAAGTAGAAATGAATGTAAAACAGTAGATCAAGTTTATGAATCAATTCACTTAGTGGAGCAAAGTAGTAATGGTGTATCTTACTTTAGCATATCTGTAGAAGAGGTTTGAGACGAATTAAATGGAAACAATGGCGAGAATCGGTTTATCAGCAAGATTTTATTAGTTTAGTCGATTTAGTCGTTACCATTGAACTTCTATACTATATGCTTGATAAAACCAAAGAGTAGTAAATAAAAGAAAGAGAAGTGGTACTAATTGGTACCGGACGAGTTTTTTGGCTAAGTCCCATGTTGATCAAGATACCACTTATAGCTGACGCCAAACGCCCTGCCCCGAGCGCTCTAAAACCTTTGTTTGTACATTATTAGATAATCAAATTTGTGTGGTTAAAATATATATACAACACTAAGCAACATGGATCGATATCTCATTAGTTCATATTTTAATACTTGACTAACTACGTATGTTACCTTGGTAGGTTTCCCAAGGATAAACGACGCCGTCTCCGTTCCTGTCGAAGAAGGCCACATGTTTCTCCAATGGAGTTTTTCCTTCCTCATCAGATTTTCTTCCTACGTAAACCCCAAACATACCGTAAAAATACTTTACAACTTTTTAAGTTTCCCGCAGAAAAAATAAAGAAATAAACAAATACATTACCTAAAAGTGGTAAAGCAGGCATTGATCCAAGAACACAAATAAACACAAGCTTTCTTGTTAGCTTCGGGTCTCTTTTGGAACTATATAAATGAAAAAAGATGGAAGAGAAGCTATTATTAGTTTTATATATTTCTACAACAAAGGTTTTGATGAGCATAGGTTTGTGTGTATTTTTGTATAAAGGTCTCCTCGACATGTATTGACATGCGTAGACGTGTTTTCGCTCATACAAGAGAATGAGAAGGACAAAGTGTGACGTTTTGCTTTCTTTCCTTTCGATTCACTATCAGCCCTTTCTTCGGTTACACGGTATATTATCTATTTAGTTTCTCATTGTTCTCTTTGCTCTTTGTTTTTAATTTTCTTTGCACGGAATAGTTAGAATTAATTTTTATTTCCATCTGCTTAATACTCACTGTTCATCAATCATCATCTGAATGTTTTTGCTACTAAAATGATGGCAGTAAAAATATTCTTTTGGTGAGATGATGAACACTTTTGCAGAATGTTCAACTTAAATTTTTGAAAATTTTCTAAATCAATCTTCAAAGTAACTACAGTAATCTTTTAGTTCTCTCGGATACATCAGTTTATAATTAACGAAACGAAAGCAAAAGCTAAACACCATTTTTGAAAAAGCAAAAGGCTAATTTTTTTCCACAAACAAAATGGCTCATCTAAGTTAGGATAATGTGCAATTGCACCACTTGATGAACAGCTTAGAACTAATCAACGAGCTAAGAAGAGAAAAGGTTTATTAGAATTTAGAAATTATCACCTGTTTTTGGTGGACATATATAATATATATAATCTCAAAACAACACTATAACATTAAGTTGTAGGCAATTTCCAAAGTTCCAAATGATGTTTTATATATACACTGTCCCCTTCTATTAATACAAATTGCTGATTCCCACCACACACCTCTCTCTCTTCACATCACACGGCATTTAGCTGGTCCCTTTGGATCTGCTCTAGCTTCCTCTGTACCTGGAGAAACAAGACCTTTGATTAGAGTCTGATTGTCCCAAGACTTGTCAGAAGTAAAACAGCTAAACCAGGTACTATCCAAACGATATCTCATCCTCATGAATACTTGACAGTAATTGTAAACCGTGTGCAACCAGAGAAATTACCTTCCGGTGGTTGAGCTAACTTCCGGTTATGAGAAGTCATCATTTCTTTTTTCAGCTTAACAAGTATGTCCTCCATTGTGTATTCTCGCCGCCAGTTTGTGAGCATAGGGAAGAGACTCGGTTCAACCTGATCGTATACATTTCGATACAGCTTGTTAAAGTAAGCAAATATCCATAGCCAGCAAGAATGTATGTCACAGAGTATTATGATTACCACTCCGGTTTCAGGGTTAACACAAGCCATGTTTATCCGGGTCTGGAACCTCACAGTTGGTGGACTTTCTGGATAATCCTTGCCACAGAAGAGCTTCAGCTGGAAGATTTTCCCTTCGTATGCAGTCTGTATCATTCATTCATCACCAAACAAACTTTAATCTTCCAAAAATCAAACAGCAGAAACAAACAAAAAGGTTCCTTCTTTTATTGAGCACACTAATCAATAGTTGTCACGAAATGTAGCTACAAAACCATTTGGAGTAAAATGTCTCAGAAGACGCAGCTAAAAGCTATGGATCATTTCCAGTAAAAGCCACACAACTACTATTAGTTATTTCCCAAAACATAGTGACAAAAAGTAGAAGAAGACTCCTAAGCAGCATCCAAAAAAGGATCGACATGTTTGAATAAGAAAAGCCATCTTGCAAATGATCTCCCAAAAGTCTCAAAAAAGATTGAATCTTCACAAAATTTATCGAAACGCAGAGAATGTAAACAAGGTGTGAGAGAGAGATAAGATACATTATGAGGGCCGAGAATGGTGCCAGTCCAAGATTGCATATAGATATCATCAGCGTCGTCCATTCCATAGCTCACGGTACCATCTCCGATTCCTTTCTCACCTCTTTCAAGCTCCTCCAACAATCTAAAGTTCCTCGGAACTACACCAAATATCAAGAGCAGATTCATCAATTAGAAATCGATCATTTCCAGATCAGAGCTAATTAATCGAGACCATGGATCCGGTCACATTTCTGATTCATAGCTCGGGAAAAAGGAAATTGTAAATCGAATCAACGCAAAAACCCTAGATCTCAAATTCAATTGACGCGAGCGATGGTAAAACAGACAACATCAAACGGAAACCGATCGGACTTACCGACGACCTTGGCTTCCTCCGAGCTCATCGCCGGATCGCAGACGAATTTCAGGTAGAATAATTAGGGTTAGGTGAGAGAAAAATTGGCAATCGCGAAGGAGAAATCAGAAAGAGAAGAGAGAGAGAGAGACTGTTGGAGTAGTAAATTGTAAATCGAATCAACGCAAAAACCCTAGATCTCAAATTCAATTGACGCGAGCGATGGTAAAACAGACAACATCAAACGGAAACCGATCGGACTTACCGACGACCTTGGCTTCCTCCGAGCTCATCGCCGGATCGCAGACGAATTTCAGGTAGAATAATTAGGGTTAGGTGAGAGAAAAATTGGCAATCGCGAAGGAGAAATCAGAAAGAGAAGAGAGAGAGAGAGACTGTTGGAGTAGTGTTCACCAGAAGGAAGGATGATGTGTCGTTGAGAAAAGATTGGAAGAAAATGGGATATGGAGAGTTTTTTTTTGTTTAAAGTTTTTCTTTCCCTTTATTTCAGGGTAATAGACTAATAATATTACATTCAAACATTAAAAAAACTTAGAAATCTTACGTTCTCTCTTGTTTATGTGCCCCGAAGCTAAGCTAGCTAGAATTTTTGTTAGACCTTTGTTCTTTGTTGATTGTTCTATTCCGGAGTGGTTAACCGTCCCAACTCAAGCTTGAATAATATAAGAATCGTTTGTCGTTAAAAAAGAAAAAAAAAAACTAGAAATCTTACGCATAAATAATTCCCAAACTTTTCAAAATTTAAACATTTTATTTCTGAACTGTCGATTGCAGGATTATTCTTCAATCAATTTTGATGATTGTTTGAAATTGAGTTTAGCCTAATCAGGCGTTAACGACAATTAGACGAAAAACCGAATCCATTAACTTAAAAACCCATTAAATATCGAGATTATATTTTCCGACACATAATTCCCAAATTAAAAACTCTAAAACGATGCCTACGAATTCAAGCAATTTTCGGAAAAAAATCTGAAAATTTTATGAGAGTTTAGCGATTAAGAATTTGGAAATCACAAAATCCGAGCTAATTATGGTGAAAATCATATGAAAAAAAAGGTGGAAGGAGGGATAAACTCCCAATTCACAGAGAGCAGCAACTCGTGACCTAAAATCGAACATAAATCAAACATCGAGCATGAGGATTCACCTCTGGTGTTTCAATTCTTTTGGTGTTTCAATTCTTGGAAATCACCTATACTTATTGTTGGTAATTTAGGGTTCGTGATTTTGAAAAAAGTGAACTTATGTGACAACGCCGGTGAAGAACATATAAGCTCCGACAAAAGTTGATTTTAAGTTAATAGATTCGCTTTTCCGTCTAATTGTTAATTAGATAAAACCCAATTTCAATAAATTATCAATAGGTTGAGGAATTTAATTATGCAATCGAACAGTTCAGGAATAAAAAAGTTTAATTCTGAAAAATTAAGAAATTGAGGAATTATTTGTGCGTTTTGTTAGGAAGTCTTACTGTGATGATACCAAACAAATATTTATCTCCCAAACATTACGCTATCGAACAAGTTCATATCAAACTAGGGGTTTGTTATTAATATATTTTAACTGACATCAAAGTTTTTTTATCACCCAAACATTACGCTATTGAACAAGTTCATATCAACCGAATTGAAAATCCGTATTATTATCAAACCAAAAAATGACAAAAGACTGCAAATTAATCTTTGAATTATATAAGATTCTATCAAATAATGTTTAGACGTAATGAAAACAGAACTGCAACTAATTACTTGCAGCGATTAAAATAAAATTAGAGGAACTCTAATCATGAATCAAAAACAAACCAAGAACCTAAAAGGTCCTTTTATTACAGCCTTAGATTTTCTTTTGAGTTTCTCTGTGTTTCTTTCAATCCGTTCTGTTTCTTTTCTGGCATTCTTCATCTTTCTCTGATGTTCTTCTTCAGACAAGACTCCTCCGGGATCAGACGATTTGCTGCTGCTCTTCCTTGTCTTCAGCCTTAAGCAACCCATGGCTCGTGACGGCTTTAACTTATCAAACCACGAGAGCTTCGATTTCGATTTCCGGTTCGATCCTTCTTCTTGAGCTTGACCGGATATTGATGAAGCTAAACCAATGTCGGTAAAACTCGAACCGAGTCTCCCAGAATCCGGTAAAACCTCACGCTCTAGAGAAAATCGCGAGGAAACCGAACCGGTTTGCCCGGAGCCTGAGAAATCATCTCCACTCGGTTTACGTTTGGTTCCCGGGAAAATCCGTGTATGATGATCTTCAACAACAGATGAAACCAACGGACGAGATCTCACGCTCTTCGCTTTCTGATCACCGAAGAAAGCAGAAGCATAACAAGACGCGTCTCCGACATTCTTCTCCCGGTGACTCGCCATGCTCTTGGAGTGAGAGAGAAGCTTCTTCGAGGAGGGAACCGGGTCGGGTCGAGAAGCCGGGAGAGACTTGAGACGACGGAGACGAGTCTCGAGATTAGTGGGGAGAACAGAGTCGGTGAAGCCAGCACAGTTGATGGCGGCGACTTGTTCAAGAGCGTGGTGATCCGTGGCTTGTGAAAGCAGATTCTCCACAGCTGATTCGTCTTTAGTAGATAGAGATCTGAAACTCGCCATTATCGTCGATTTTTTCTTGAAGGTTTTAAAGTTTTTCTTGTTGGAGTAAAGAAGAAAACGATGAAATATGGTTTGATGTTATCAACCTTTTTATAGTTGATGTTCTCTGCCTCTCCATGCACGTCTTTTCTTCCATTATAGTGTGTCAATTGTTAAATGTCCTTTTTTTTTGTTAAAAAATTGCTAAATGTCCATTAAAAACTATATATCTTACTGTTTTACTTTTGTTTGCTATACAGAATTGAAAAATTGACTTATTTATTGACCTCCAAACGAGTTTCCTATTCTGTTGATAAAACAATATTCAGAAAGACAAAACTTGAATAAATAAAGATAGAAAAATGACGGTATGATACTGAATTTTACAAAATTTGCTTAAACTGTTTAACATACATACTCTTATTTTCTAGAATATCAGAAATATCAAATATCTAATAGGTTACTAAAATATTTATTTTCAAATCATGAAAACTCAAACTTATCTCTAGGTTTTGTTGCATCGTTTTATTTGCCTTTGAGGTCTTTTAATTTCTTAGTCAATAATTGACATTCAAATCTATGTTGCCTTTTGGAGTCTTTGCCATGAGTCTTCTTTACTCAAAGACTAATGCGAGGATTCACAAGAGCCTGTAACCAAAATTTAAATAACAAATCAAAAGGATCAAAAATTTTGCTCTATTGAAAGCAAATGATACCTCAATTCTTTCTTTGCCAACTAACATTAGTTTCAAAAGACAAAATTGTGACTTTAAATAAAGGGTTTAATTTTAAGTGTAACAACATATTATAGCTTTTACAAGATAAAGAAAGGGAACAAAACTACAAAAACCAAAGGCCAAAACTTTCACTTTCCTTCTCAAAGCTTCAGGCGTTTCAGGTTTTGCCTCGTATCTCCATCATGCTCAACCTGAAAGACATACAAATGTAAGGAAAATATCTAAACCGCAGACAAGAAAGTACGCCCGTAAATTGAAAAGCAAAGCTCTTGTGGAGTCCCACCTCAACAACTACTCTTGATTTCTTCTTCGCTTTTCCATTCTCATCACGCTTACTTAAAGCTCTTTCCTTTTTATGAATCACAACTTGCGGCTCCTCATCATCATCGCCAGCCTCATCTTCTGAGTCTGCAAAGAGTTTCATGATTAGAATAAACTCAACGAACAAACGAAGCTATAAAAGTGGACATCAGCATTAACTCAAAAGCATTAAAATACATGATTTCAATTCTTGACTTAAAAGTCAAGAACATGGATTTTTTACCATGATCATCATTGTCAAGGTGAGACTCCTTAGATGGATAAGTTGAAAAGTCTTCTATATCCTCTTCTTCTTCTTCTTCTTCTTCGTCTTCGAGTTCAACATATTCAACCTGGGATTAAGTTTAACAAATACATATCAGTACAAAGATGCTGCATCTAGGGGTTTGATGGACTGCGAAAAATCATGCGTTTACACAAAAGGAACGTACCTCCGCCTCCTCTTCTTCTTCTTCTTCTTCTTCTTCTTCTTCTTCTTCTTCAACATCCTCTTTAACTTTGTTAAGAGCCATCATAAACTCATGCTCATCCAAATTGTATATCGCCTCGGGGTAAACGCCTTTCTTCAAACGGTTTACCAGCTCCATTTCAATCTCCTGTAAAAGAAATAAAGCACGACTTTACCATGAGAACCTAAGAACTAAAGTGAGGCAAAGTCAAAATCTAAACCACATCCCAAAAAAAAAAGAAAAGGAAGGAAAAAGTTGTGACCGTTTCCAACTTAGCAGCTGTCAGAGCCTTGTCCTGTCTTCTCTTCTCCCTCTTTGTGTCCCTCCTAGGCATCGTCATTACTACCTCCCTGTGATCCAAGAACAAAAAAAGCACCACATCATTAATAAGTACCATAAACAAAACCATCTCTGAATCAAAACAAGATATCAAAAAACACAAGGGAAGAGGGCAAGACCTTGTTTTGAGTTTAAGTTTCTTCATACGGATTCGCATCTGAGTCATTTTTGTCAGTCTCTGCTTAACCTTGTGCTGCAACAACTTGGGCCAGTACAACTGCCACAATACAGAAACGCAAAGTTTAAAAACGCAAGATCTTAATACATCTCTCTCTAGCTGAAATGTGAGGGCGAAATCTCAAGCTCACCAAGTGTTTGTCAATGAGCTCAAGAGCTTTCTCATAGTTTCTAGGCAGCTTAATCCTCTCCCACAAGTTCTTTGGCATGTGAGCTCTCTCTATAGTCTTCATGTACAAATAAAAGACTCCTGAAGTAACCACAACAACAACAACAACAACAACATCAAAACAGAGAATTTAACTGTAAGAGACCCCAAAAACTACATTCAAAAGAATCATTTTTTTTCCACAAAAGGTAGATTGTTGGCTATTTTGAAATTCGAATTACAGACTTGAAAAAGCATACCATCGTGGTTACGGATGGTGGCGTATCGGCTGTTGGCAAGTGGGCAAGAGCTACGATTGCAGATACCGGTTACATTGTAAGTGTTTTTGCAGAAGATTCCGGTTTCGATTCTACAGAGTACACCACAAAAGGAAGAGAAATTGCTCAATCAACAAATTATCTTCCTCAATTTAGGGCCAGACGAAAATTGAAAGGAGAAAAGAGACGTACTTTGCCATGTAACTGCAGTGCTTGTGCCTGATAACCTGCCATATAACCTCATCGTGCTGCATCTTCTAGATGAGGGTTTTTGGGGGTTATGAGAGAAAGTGAAAAGCCGGCCAATCGGAAAGAGAAAAGAAACCTAAATCTGAGAAAATGGCGACGGCGTTGAAGGAGAAGAGGAAGAAGAGTACCGACCGGAGGGTTTTCATAAATCTTAGTCACATAATAATTTATTGTTTGGGCCTTTTAATTGTTTGCGATTAGTTGGGCCTTATGGTGAAGTAAGCCCAATAGTACTACATGGAACAACCAAAAACATTTTAAGTACACCCTTCAAAGTTTTCATACATGCTTCAAGCAAAAATTCAATCATATGATGCTATAACCGCGAGTAAACAATCCGGAAATGCAAGAAAATAAGGCCTTTGAGTGATCCAAGCTTTTGAATACTTCACAAAGTCATGACATTATCTAGGAATTGCAAATAGTATCATAGTCTGTGATTTTATGTTTTCCTCTGCGTTGTATGGTAAACAAATGTCATAGAAAGACAAAAGGTGAAATTTAAACTATAATAGTGAATACTTCACATATCTTAGTAATGTTTTCTTTTGATTGACCAGCTGTTTTAAGGTGTCATTCAACTTTCATATAGTAGATTTTATATACATATATGCATATTTTATTTCACATCTAATCTTCTCCTCCTATATCTATCCATCGCTTCCTATCTTGACCCATTTTGGTTGAATTTTGTGCATCCGAAGCTTATATCAAAACACAGTTCTCATCTAATACTTATAGCAAAAAAAAAAAAAAAAAAACAATTCTCATTTAATACAAGTGCAAATAATGGACTGTGCTATAGAGTATAGACCTATAGTATTTGAAGTATCCATCCCATAAAGAAAAGTTTGCGTAAATGAAATATCATAGTCTAACTTAACTAAAACGATTGATTAGAGTGACCAAAACACTTTATTAGTAATCATTTGGGCTAAAAACTCATAAGGCCCATCACATATTCAAGGCCCAAAAGAAAAAACTCTTTACGATTTCTCTTTATAAAACCCCTTCTCTGCTTCTCTGGAAAACCCTAGCCGCTTGGTTCCCTATATAAAAAACCTAATCACAAACTCCTCCTCAGAAAAAAAAAACCTAGATCTGAGGAAATGGCGACGGCGTTGAAGAAGAACAGGAAGAAGAGAGGTCACGTCAGCGCCGGTCATGGACGTATCGGAAAGCACCGCAAGCATCCCGGAGGTCGTGGTAACGCCGGAGGTATGCACCACCACCGTATCCTCTTCGACAAGTACCATCCAGGTTACTTCGGAAAGGTCGGTATGAGGTACTTCCACAAGCTCCGCAACAAGTTCTACTGCCCGATCGTCAACCTCGACAGGCTCTGGTCGCTCGTCCCCGAGGACGTCAAGGCCAAATCCACCAAGGACAGCGTTCCGATGATCGACGTGACGCAGCACGGCTTCTTCAAGGTTCTCGGGAAAGGTCATTTGCCTGAGGGAAAGCCGTTCGTTGTGAAGGCCAAGCTCATTTCGAAGACCGCTGAGAAGAAGATCAAGGAGGCCGGTGGCGCCGTCGTGCTCACTGCCTAGGTTAGGTCGTTCGAATTATCGGTTTTTTCTCTCTCTCTTTAATATTCCCCGTTTTTTTATATCGTTGTTGAACTCAGGTTGTTATTGGATTTTTGGAATGAGAGATCTTTTAATTAATGTTTCTGGATTATTTATTTGCTATTTTGAGTTTCATCCTGGTATTGATTTTGGTGTTTTTGCGATTGCTGCGATAGATTCTTCACTGGTTTATTTGATTTGATGATGCGGTTCATATTTACATTTACCATTGGTTAACGTTCATTTTAGGTATCAATTCATTGTTTTTCGAAAATCGTTGGTCCTTATTTTTTCCCATTTGATAGTTTACTTGGAAATTATCAAACGATTGCGCCAATTTGCTTCATTTTCGTTCTTTTTCCTCGCCTCTTTTACATTCCTGACTCCAATTTAGCTCGTTATTTGCTCCTCAAATCAGATTTAGTTTTAGTTAGTTTGTATTCATGTTTAATCTGCATGTGTAATCCTTGAAAGCACATGATCTTCCTTAATGTCACCGAGAGTTATACGAATCTAGCAACGTTTTTGCTTGATTTCTTTGTCCATTTTGTCTCACTCGCTCTTTTGCTTCTCTTGCGAATCGTTCTATGATTTTCGTCGTATGAATAGTCACTCTTTCAAATTTGATCTGTTCAATTTCTTTTCTCCGTTGCCTATTTTGTCTTTGTTTATGAAGCCTTGCAATTCACTAATTATCTTCTTATTTAAAACCTGAAACTGAGTCTAAAAAAACAACCCTTTTGTTTAATTACTATAATGCAAGCAGAATAATGGAACTGACATAGTTGGTCTAGGTAACCAAATTGCTCTTTGTTTAGGTCCGTAATTAGTCTTATCTCCCTCGTCTGTACATAGACTCGGTCCTAATCCACAAGTTCGATTAGCAATTATTATTTTCTGCCAATTATATGGTTTAAGACGTAACATAAAATTATAGTATATGGTTTAAAATTGACAATTAAAAAAGGACAAAAACAACTTATCGTTAAGTTTAAAACCGAAAAGAAATTACCTGTTGTCGTCCCCAGTGTTAACTAAAGCTCTTGGGCGAGCTCAACTCCTTCGTTTACTTTTCAAGCTGTGCATTTGTAATCATCATAAGTGTATTTCCTATTCTCTTAAATACATGTCCTTTATGTATACTCTTTATATTTTACTTGTAACTATATACAAAAAAAAAATATATATATATATACAATAAAGGCATCCTTTCACAAAAGTTTCAGATATTTGCCCCTCTTCGTTGCTTGTTACAAAGTACATGACAGATAAGCTTCAGCTGCACCAAACATTTTGTATCTCATCGATCATCCTATAACCTATAAGGATCTTCAGTTTCACATATTTGCCCCTCTTCGTTGTTGCTTCGTTGCTTGTATCTCATAGATCTAAATTAATAAACATCGAATCTTCTTATGTTCAAGGTTTACCACCGTAACACATAAGAAAATTTAAACCCTATGTTATTTGGTTTTAATTTGATTTTGGATTAGTTTTCATTTAAAAATATAGTAATAACTAATATATGTACCCGAAATTTTTCTTTTTTTTTATTAAAAAGTGAGTGATAAACAAGTAAGCATAACTAAAATCTCAACACAATCAACGAGTAACTACAGCAATTGTTAAGCTAGTCCCCACCCAAATCGGTTGAATTTGCGTAACCACATTGTGAGACGATCCATGGGTTCCTGATTTGATGAGCCTGAGGAGACCGTGACCTGACTTTTCCACGGGGAATGGAGACTCTCGGTCATAGGATTTAGTTTGAACTCAAGCAGTTCCTCGCCAAGAACATGAACGTCCAGTTTCTGTCCCGATCTGCATCGAGCAGGATTCGAACTGATGAAGTAGTGATGCCCTGGTTTCGTAAGGGTCACGACATCGTGACCTGTTTTGTAGACGGCTTCAGCAAAAGAAGATTGGCATAAATCGTAATCCAAACGGATAACTGGAACGACGTCGTTGAAGTCGTGATCGTATTCGAAGAGGAGTGAATCACCGACGTTGAATTCTTTGTTCTCGGCCCAACCGTGATACTTGTCGTCCTTCGCCGTCCATCCATCAGAGTCTCCGACTTTGTAGGTTGTCGCGGAGCAGAAACCCAAGAGAACCGTGAAGGCTGTTATCACGAGCATGAAACCGAAAATCTTCTTTGTTGTTGTTGTTGGGGCCATGATTTCGTGGTACACAAGGAAAAGAAGAAAGATGATTAACAGAGAAGACAACTAGAAAGGTTATGAGATCTCAAACTCTCTGAATGTGTTTGGAGTTGTGTCGATTATGTGTTTGTGGCAAAAGAGTGCACCATGTCTCTTGTTATATAGTGATTTACGGAGACCTAATCCTTGCTGTTTAGGATTTCTATTTGGTTTATTTCCTTTTTCTATTTCCTATGTAATTAACCCAAGAAGTCACGTTAAACTTTATTTGTTTTTGCGTTTTGGACCTATATTTTCCACCTCATAACCTCATAACTTGAGAAAAAGGTTAACAATACTTTTCTGATCAAGTTTATTTTCGTTTGTTTTATTAATTTGATAATATAATAATTACCATCTTCTTGGATAGGTTGTTTCCTTTTTTATTACGAAATATATCTTTTCGAAAATTGTTGCTCCTCTTTCTTTTTCTCCATTTTATGGTTAGCTTGGAAATTCTCTAACGATTGCACCAGTTTGCCTCATTTTTGTTCTTGTTCCTTTCTTATACATTCCTGACTCCAAGTTTGCTCATTATTTGTTCCTCGAATCAAATTCAGTTTTAGTTAGTTGGTATTCATTTGGATTTTGCATGTGTAATCCTCAAAAGAACATGATCTTCCTTAATGTCACCAAGAGTTGTGAGAATCTAACAACGTTTTTGCTTGATTTCTTTGTCCATTTTGTCTCCCTCGCTTTTTAGTCTCTCTTTACGAATCTACATTGACACTAATTCAGTGACGAATCTCTTTCTATGATTTCCGCCGTCTGAATAGTCTCACTCTTCCACATTTGATCTCTTCAATTTCTTCTTCTCCGTGGCCTATTTTGCCTCTGCCAATGGAAACGGACTGATAGTTGGTTTAGGTAACCAATATGCGCTTGGTTTATACCTTTAATTAGTCAGTCTATCTCCGTCGTCGGTACTATATGTATGAATTTATTATTTTTCTGCCTATTATATGGTTTTAAGACATAACATTAAAGTATATGGTTTAAAGTTGACAATTTAAAAAAAAAAAAGGACAAAAACAACTAATCGTTAAGATCAAAACTGAAAAGTAATTAGTTGTTGACGTCCCCAGTGAAGAATGAACTCCGGCGCTTAGGTTTGGGAGCCGGTGGACACACTCGCGGCTGCGGAATCCTGAATTGTTCTGCTTTAGGCGTCGTGCACTCTTCTTCCTCTGCTTCTTCTCCGCTTCCTGCTCGTTCTCAGGCTTCTCACTCCTCGTTGTTGAACACAACACCGTACACTTAGCCGGCAACAGAATTCTGCTCCCGTTACCAATTGTGTTCTTCTCCGACTCTGTATCCACCCTGTCTTCTCCTTCACTCTTCTTGTTACTTGTCTCACACGCCAAAGACTGCAATCCTTTATCCAGATAATCCATGCTTTGCAGAGTAACAAAAATTTCTTTCTTTTTTTTCAAGGAAATTTTGATTGTTTTGATGATCGGAAAACTAGAATCAGAGACTTATAGAAGGATTTATGAATAAACAGACAAGTAGAAAGAGTTTTGGACTTTGACTTTGATCTTAAAAACGGTTTTGCTTTCATGTTTGGGATTATCACGTTATTTAATTAAACTAAAATACAATCTAGCTATTAAGTTGGACTCCTATCCATATCATAAAAAACAAACAAACTATGGAATTGGTGAATCTTTGAATCAAAACGAAAGATTCCATATTTTTTCTTTAATTTAATAGCATAAATACAAATTATACGTTACCACAAAGAAAAAAAAGGCTATCGTCTAACTTCATTCTAGTGAGATTAAATTCTTAATTCTTATATCAGTTTCAAATTGAGAATAGAAGTAGAGACAAGAGAGAGTTTTAGATAATAAGACAGAGAAAAGAGTACTACAGAGATTTAGCTTTTAAGAGATGTAGCAGAAGACAATAGTTTGTTCAGAAAAGAAGAAGAAGAAGTAATCACATTCTTGAATAACCAAAGTTACTCTCGTACTGAGCCATGAACCCATCATTGAACTTCTTGAAACTGTCCATGATCTCTGGCATCTCTTCTTCCGCAGGCAAGATCGTTGTCCTCAGATGGAACACACTGTCAAAATTCCGCAAGAAGAAGAATGAGTTAGTCAATAAGAAGAGATCAAAAGAGCAAAGACCGAGTTGATTCTTAGTTCTCTTTACCCTTCTTTCTGTCCAAATCCAGAGCCAGGGACTGTGGAGATTCCTGTAGCTTCTAAGAGCTTGAGACAGTAGAAAACGTCTGGCACTTTTCCGGCTTGTTTTGCAGCTTGGATCGCTCCCGGTGGCAACTTTATTTGAGGAAACGAGTACATTGCACCTAAAACATTCAAACAAGAATCATCAACAACAACAACAAATATTTACCAAAATCTCTACTCTGGGACCGGTTTGTATGGCTTTGTGTTTTTGTTTTTACCTTCTGTGAAATTGCAGACGACGTTTTTGCAGCTGTTGAACCCATCAGTCATGATTCTTGCTTTTCTTCTCAAAGATTCAAGAATCCCCTTGCTAAAGAGACATGCAAAAGCTCTGAATTAATGATTCAATCCAGGGATGATGATCACAAGTGTGTTAAGCTTAACAAGTATATTACCTTTCGCGGGCGAACTGGTCATATGAAATGTCTCCAGGCTTTGGAGGATTAACCATCAAACCCATCTGCACATATTCATCATTTTTCAGAACATATCAATGATTTCTACAATAGAAGATCCACAATGAATACAGACTCTTTTTACTTACAAAGATCTGCGCCGAGACATTGGGGCTGAGAGCAATTGATGCAACCTTGTATATCTCCTCCACAGACTGCAGAATCAAGATAATCATATTGTGAACTTATGAATATGTGTTTGCTTAACTTAACAAAGGTTCAAAAAAGAGAGTCAAGACAAACCCTGGGAGGGATGTTGGTCATCTCAAAGTATCCACCTCGCTGTCCACATTCACCCCAATATCCTTTAGAGACGGTGTGGAAAGAAACAAGCTGGACTTCCTTGCTGAACGGCGAGCCCATTTCCATCAAAACCTTTTGTATTTTTTCCAAGAACGTTGTTTATGTTAAGAGAGTCATCACAAATCAGGTACAGGTTTCAGAAACAAGAAAGCAAAGATTGAAGCTGACCTTCCTGGAGCTGATAAAGGGACGCTCGTCCTGGTATATGTTCTGCTGATAAACCTCATCTCCCAGAAGAACCAGTTTCTCTTTATGACAGAACTCCAATATCTCTCTCAAGTTAGCTTCGCTTAGACACTGACCAGTTGGGTTCCCGGGGTTGATGATCACCATCGCCCTTATCTGTTATAACCCAAGCAGCAGAATTTGTAACTGGAGAAATAAAAAGACATATATGCTTGTACTCTAACTGCAAAGAGAGAAAGAGTGCTCACTGATATCCCTTGAGAACGAGCCTGAGCAACAGATTGTCGAAGGTTGTTAACATCAAGTCCCCAGTTTTCAGACTCTTCAAGATAGTAAGGAACAAGAGAACCACCCAACAGTGATATGGTTGCTGAGTAGAGTGGATATTGTGGAACCGGAACAAGAATCTGCCAAAGAGGAAAAGAAAAAATAAAACTTATAAATGAAATGTTAAAAGTTTCAAAAATCATAGCAGATGATAAGACCGGTTGAGACAGAGCATTTACCCCATCTCTCTCATTGCGTATAACACAATTCAAGATTTGCATCACACCTTTGCTAGCTCCATCAGTGAGAAATATGAGTTCTGGGTCACTGTGACATGAAAATAAGAAACAAAAGAGTCCTGAGCTGGCTTTGCTTTATACAACAACTCATCACAGGAAAACCGAAGCTGAAAGCAATCACCTTGGATACCCATCACGCCGTTCAATGAACTCAGCAACCTCTTTCCTAACTCCCGGAAGACCTCTTGAGTCACTGTAAGCACCTGATGATACATAAAGAAAAAAGGGTATAACTTTCTGAGTTTCTTCCACACATAGATAAGCCGCTGAATAATGAGTTTGCTTAGCATAGGGTATACCTAATCCGCCTGAAGTTAAGGAAAGATAATGCTTAGCTCTTGCAATAGCATCAGCTGGGAATAGCATTCCAACATTTGGGTCATCTAGTAGAAACGGAGCTTGACAAAGTGCAACCACCTGCCATTTCATTTTTATAACTATTTAGGCTCAAAACTAGATTGAAGTCAGATTGTCTGAGACCTGTATATAATTAATATACCTGGCGAGGGAATGTCAGCGGCTTCTGTCCCATAGCATGAGGGTTCCCAACGTTTGTGAAAATGATCTGTTATTGCAACATTCATCCCAATCAGAACAAACAAACAAACACCAGAACACTATGGACAATATCATCACAAATTCAAGTGGTAGATTATATCTATCTAAAGCTCCTTGTTAAGTTTGCTCAAGTTTTCATAAGGTTTCATGGAGGAAGTACACAAGATAACACCATTTTAGAGTAAATCTAATATGTAAAGACACAAAAAGTGTATACCTTTTTGCCTTCTTTCTGAAGCTCAGAAGCTCGGAGATAGAGTTCACCTCTCACAGCATACTGACACTTCTTCACGTTTTCATTAAGAGACTCGTACTCCATCTTTATCTTCCCACACTATATAACCAGCCCCTGGCTCACTTCAATCTTATTAACACCGTCACGTCTACAATCCGAAACACAGAAACAGAGTTGTGTGTGAGAGAATCCATCAAGTCAAATCAGCAAATTCGAAACCAGAAAGCCAGATTGGATCAAATGAATAACACCAAATCTAAATTGAGCTAAGAAAAACCCCTTATTTATGGTTTCTCAATACCCAAAACACAAAACTTTCCAGCTCATTTCCCAGAACAAATTCGTAATCATCGTCAAGAATAACGCAAGAGTGGTACAGAGAAAAAAAAAGGCGACGCCTTTTCAAACCTCAATCGAAAGAAGAGAAATTGATCACACGGGTTTTCAACGATCGATCCAAAACGTAAGAAAAAAAACTAAATTAATCACCACACACCTTCAAGCTCAATGTTGTGACCCCCAAAGGCTTTTCTCGAGAGTCACGTTCCAAAAGGCAGCGCAAGAAAGAGTGGGGAGAGCTATTGTATTAAACTCTTTTAAGAGTGTGTGACTTACAAAAAAAAAAAGCTTTAAAATATTTGTGTTAGCAGATTACAATTGTGTGTCTGACGTGAATTTGGATCAGTCGCCAATCCAATTATGTGGCATTATGAGGAAGGAAGCAGCAGAGCCACTGAAAATTCGACGAAGAAGATTCACCAGACAAAAGTCAATTTAACGATATCTTTCCGTGTCTCGTTTTTATGCGACGACGATCGTTCTCAGAAAAGAGAGAAAAAAAAAAGAAACAGATAAATTGGAAGAGAATAAAATGTGGTGGAAATTCCAGTTGGATAGATTGTAAATATTTTTTTGTCGTGTATACGCTTGTTCTACAGAGAAAATTATTACATTTAGGTGACGACCAATGGGGTTGATCCACGTGTTTGACGTATTTGTTTCATCCTCTTTTAGACACTTGTTTTTGTTTTCCACTGTTTCGACTCCTCAATACTCTCAAAAGCTTTAAGTTATGTTTCAATTTGGAAGATTATTTGTGTACATGGCAAGTGTGAGATATTGATGAAGAAATACTTAGTAGTAGTAGTAGTGGAGTATAAAGTTCTCTCAGCTTAATATTAACATTTTTACTGCCATCTACTGCATCAAGACGAAAATAAAATCTAAGTACTGCTGTTAAAAGATAACACTGAAGAAAAACTTATGACAGTGCAATCTTATCTACCCTTACCATGAAGACCAAACTCCATTTGATTAGTGGAATTTTCAAGTCGTATCATGTGTACCACTAGCGTTTGTCTTTTGATTTGTATTCTTGTACGTTTCTGTATATGTAAAGCCATGTTAGTTTAGTAGGAGGGGCATGTTCTCATTTTCATGTAGAATATATATATATATATATAACATTTTATCCTATAGTTTAGTATATGTGATGTCAATCCGTTGTCATCACATAATCAAACTATTATTTTTTTATAATCTATCTAGGACCAACATTACAAATTTAATATAAGATCAATTAAGAAGATTGAAAAGTATTATATAATTAAAAACGCCACTTAGTATTATAATGTATCACATTACTATAATGTCTAAAAAAAAAAAAAAAAAGCCATTACTAACATAAAAGAAAAACTTAAGGCTTGATGCATTTGAGATCCTTGATGGTGGCGAGTCTATGGAGAAAGATATCAAAGTCATCATCGCGGCTAAGCATGCTCACGCGAACATACTTCTTGTCACAGCCACATCGGTCTCCTCCTCTCGTCAAAACCTTATTCTCCTTCAAGAGGCTTCCAAGATCTCTCTCCTCTTTACACCCTAACCATGCAAACGCTGCAAGAAAGCATTTCAAAAACCCAACCATTATTAATAATCTACACAAGCGTTACAATTTGAGCACAAAAATTATTTGTGGTTTTTGTACCAGGAGAATTGGATATGCTTTTGCCAAAGAAGTTGCAAAAGGCTTGAGGGTAATTAGGTAGAGTGAATGTGTCACCGGAATCAACGACCTCTCGTAGCCTCTCCCACCGTGACTTCATCTTCTCGAAACCATACTCGAAGAAGCTCTCCGATTTGTTCCTACAGATTTTGGTGATTTCATTGAGAATCGTGGTGGCTCGAGTCTGTGACTCCTTAGACACACCAATGGAGTTGATTGTTAGGTACTGCACCATCCTTTTAGCCACCTCTATGTCCTTCACTAACGCCCACCTTCACACACATACACCAATAGTTAAACAATTGTCAATAATTATACATACGACCTCGATCATTTTAAGGACAAAAACGCATCGTTTCAGTGATTAGTGTCTCACACAAATAAATGAAGAACCAAAGCGGAAAGTTAAAACATTCAAACAAAAGGGCTTAGTTATCAATTTAGATCCAAAAACAGCATAGTTTAAGAGCTTTGTTTGACTGACCCGATGCGAGAACCAGCGTGGCCAGTGATCTTGGAGAAGGTGAAGAGCATGAGGTCGTGGTCTTGACGGCGAGTGATGGGAGTGTAGTGTGGCCAGTAATACGCGAAGTCGTGTATCACTTTCCCGCTACGGTTCACCACCGGCTCTCTGATGGTGCCGTCAGGGTTGTTCGGAGACGTCATCATCTCGATGTACGGTCCGTTTTTGTCGAACGTCCTTGCGTCTCCTTCCCATTTGTACAGCTTTGATTGAAGATACGATGCCTCCTCCACGTATGTCTGTACCAAAACATAAAACAAAGTTATTGAACGTACTTGTACATATATCATGTTTTGGGATGTTTCATGTGTTGTGTTGTGTTGAGCTCAAGACACATGTCTTCTCCAATCCCAAAAGTCATAAATATATACATGGACCCCTTTTTCAGGCCATTATAACATTCTTACGGAGTAATAAGGTGTGGCCGCGACGATGCTAACAGGTTTGACCTCAGAGAGCGACGAAAGTGCAAACAAAGCGGCCTGGCAAAGCTGCGATGAGCCAGTCCCCACCACGATGTAGCGTTCCTCAGTCGCTGCGTTACCGATCGCACCATGCAACGCCTTGATCGCCTTGGCAAGCTCTGGCTCTAGGAACCAACACACGTCTGTCGTGTTGCTGAAGTAACTCATCATATCCCATCCTGGTATCACCACCGTACACCTGTCCTTCATCTTCATCCAATACTCTTGGAACGCCGTCGGATCTCCCCTGCAAACAAATTAACATGCATTGTTAAAAAATAAGAAAATCAAAATTTATGTGTCTATCATAAAAGTGTCAAAAACAAATAAAAAATTTAGTTTCTTTTGCAAATGCATGTTTGAGATCAAGAAACGAGTCGATCACAACTGTGTAATGCAAATGTGTCATATGCTTCAGATTTCAAACTAAATCATTTAAACAATTTACCGCAAATTCATTAGCCAATATATAAGCTTTGTTAAGTTCGTTGTAACAACAAATTGGTGTTACAATAATCTTAATGTGATGATTGTGCAATAAAGATGAAACTAATAAGACATACTGATCTAGATTGATGACCGCATCTGATAAGCGGTTGTTCTTGATCGAGTCACTGTCGGATTTCTTCGAGATCTCTAACCCAACCATCTTCAACCCGTGTCCTTGTTTGCTCTGTTGCTGCTAATGTAACAAATATGTGTGAGAATGTTAATGATTACAAGAATTGTACGGAGTCTACGGTACTATAATAATATTTATAAGAAATGAAGAATGAATGATTTTCTTTGAACTTTCTTGGTCTTAACTACCAAAATAACAAGCTAAAACGCAAAAGGTAAAAGAGATCTGAATTGTATGATGTGTCAGCTTACAGAAAAAAGATTCTCCAACTTTGTAGTCAATATTTGGTTGTTCAACACTTTAGGGTCAATATGTGTCTCACAATTATGTTCATTCCTTTTAATTACGCCAAATGTCACTGAGAATCTACAATACCTGTGTACCAAACCAATTTAGACTGGGGGGAGAAATGTGGTCAAGATTAGATTCTTATCTTAAGACTTGCTTTTATTAAATTACTATTCAAAGGTTATTTGTAATTTAAACCAATCAATACATGTCACATAAGAGATAAGACCACAGGTTTTACTCCAGCTTTATGATCCCACGTGTTGTGTTATCTTTCGATTTGCAATCTGCAATCTTGCATTCCCTTTTACTGCATTTGTTCTTATTGTGAAGTTAGAATAATTAGTTTTGAGATCAAGATCTTAAGCCCATTTGTTGGCCCAACTTCATTTAGGTTACTAGATGTTACAAACAAAACATAGCTTTTAATACATCTAAGCTTATATACACATTTCTTGATCACATTTTTTAGCCTCTCTACTGTTTCTTGGTCTCTTGGAATCCGCGGATGAGTCATGGATATAGTGTGGATTGCTCCATCATTGTCCTGCCAATCTTCATCTCTGCAGAGAGATTTGTATACCGTTATAGTGTTTAGCTTTTAAGTGGTTGATACAAAGTCTTTAACATTTATAGATCATTACATGTAACCCTTATAAGGCAGAGGAAGGTGACGAGGAAACCGCCACTGACTCATCTGCAACACTCGGATAAAGAGCAGAGGATGAAGGAACAGTCATCATCCCTAGAGGCTTTCTCGTACGTTTCGTCGCGTAGCTGAAGTAGAACGTGTTCGGGAAAGTCTGGAGACGAGCGTTGAGCCGCATTGTTTCCAGAGAATGCTTCATGTTTCGTGAAATTTCGAATATATTAGACAAAACTGTACAGAACCGCTGAAACGTTTATTAAGATTTTGAAAGATTTGTTTTAGCATCCAAAATGCCATTCGTTAATATGAAACGGAGGTATTAGCTAGATTCTTGTGTTGGATATGGATAATTTGAATGGTTAAAAAGGTAAAAAAGTGAGCATGTTTAAAAAACTTCTCACTCAAATTACTCTCTGTTTAGTAATTTGTTAAACTTCTCATTTAGATAGTTGGCATATAGATTATTAGATCATGTCTTCATGGTAAAAGAGATGAGAAGACCATGTGCGCGTGTTTAGCTTTTATTCTATTACATAAACATTATTAACAAACTAATCACACGAGATGAGCTACCGTCTTAAAATCAATAACATAACCATGAAGAAGAAAAGTGCTAGACAACACTAAAATTATATGTTGATGGGAAGAAATACAACTCAAACATTAAAAAAAAAAAAAAAAAAAAAAAAAAAAAAAAAAAAAAAACACCAATGTAAGGCATAGCTTAGAAAGTTGACATTCAACATAGAAAGAAAACAAAGGAGAAAGATAGAGAGAGGTGTTTATAACCTATGTTTATAATATAGAGATCAAACTCTGGAAATAAGAGAGAGTGTATGCAGTTGCTTCAGCTGTGAAAGCCAAATCATATGATTTGGTTTGGGGATCGTGTATCACCAGTGGAAGCCCACACTCTTGGTCATTTAACAGCAACTTATTATTCCCCAAAACTGCTAGTGGCGTGAGTGCCAAGTTGTGTAACCCAAACCATGCAAAAGTTACATTAAGATCTATCGAATACATCACCTCCCAAGTCTCCTCCTTGTCTGCATTGAAGGACCAAATCTTTTGCACGGGCCATTTCATCTCGGACACGCACAAACGATCATTAAGGTTGCACAAGTTGATCTCTAAATGGGAGGCGTGGACAAAGGGAGCTCTACAGATGACTTGGAAAGTTTCCGTGTGAAGATCCAAAGACAAAACCTTTGTTTCACCCTCGGTGAACCAATGAAGCGAGCCATCAAAATAAATAGGATCTTGGCAAGTAATAATGCGATGAGGAGACGCAGGGATAACCATCCTCCACGTGTTGGCGCTGAAATCAAAAACTTCACACGTGGTGGTTTCCTTACCTGGCCCTGGTTCCAGCGAATTATATAACCAAACCGGCTTGTATATGCCCGTGAGTTTGTCTTTGCCGAAACCAAGTCTTGGGAATGGGTGTCCAGGGAGGACACCCCTGTTTCGTTTGCGGGGTTCGGAAGTGATTAGCTGATTGTTACAGAGAGGAATGGTTCGATGCCATCTGGTTGATGGATTCACCACAAAACCTGAATTGTAGGTATCGAAGAGGCATATCAGACCGTCACAGCTACTACTGCAAACTTGGTACAGTGTGTTCTCCCAAGGAGTTTGGATCTTGACCGAAACTGGCGACCCCACCACAACCGTTCTTAGAGCTTCTATGTTGGTCAGATCCATAGCAGAAGCATCAACCATGGACACTAAAAGGACATCTGGGTCATGTGTTTGCTGACGACGGATCAACTGTCTCTCTTGAAAACCCCGGGATTCTGTTATTGTACATCTCCACTCTTTCGATACACACGTAAATCTAAGCAGAGATTTCACCGGAAGTCTCTCCAGAATTAGCTCAACAACATCGAGGGGTAGGATTGACATACTCAAGGATTTGATCTTGATAGATTCAGCAGTCCTTGGTTCCAATTATTCCACCGTTTTCTTCCTCTATTCTCTCTCTGTGTTCTAAAAGTCGGCGATTAGACCCAATCATTGGTTCGAAAAACGGACATCGGCAAACCACCGTAGAGATTAATGAAAATCGGTGGTGGGTGATCTCCGGAGAAGAGAGAAATAAAGTTGGAGAGAGAGCACGCCTGTTTCAAGCAAAAAAAGAGCAATAGAACGTACAAAAGGGTTGTGGCCCATTTTAATTACAAAGGCCCATTTTCTAACTCAAAACTTATCAACTTGTCTCCGGTTTATGTAAAACGCAGCGTATCAATATGAAATTAACCCGCAAAAAGCAGCGTATCAACCTATTTTTGGTTAAAACCGAAAATTTGTCATACCAATAAGTATAAAATAAAAATAAATATGAATATTATATTGATATACATCTTATTATATAAAGCTGGATGCGCGCGACGTGGTTGCGACACGTAGGATTTTTATAAAATATAGGATCGCGACATGTGTCACTTTTAAAGATTATGTCCGTTAAGATCGTGACACGTGTATTAGGGAAAAAAGAAAAATTTTTTTAAAAATACTAGAAATAGGATAATTAAAAAAACGAAATTTAATTAAAAAAACGAAATTTAATCTATTTTATAAAAAAAAAATTAATATTTGTCATATCCTAACAGAAAAAGGTTTTCCCATTCATCAAATTTATATTATCCAAACACATATTATTATAAAATAAGATTGAAAATAATGTAATAAATAAAATCCTATTACTACATGGAATAGGTACGTAAACTAAAATTCCTATATCTGCAAGGAATATGTTATATGAACACCTATAAATACAAAGTTACAATAGTCTCTTTTTTCTCATTCACAAACTCATCAAAGCAAATTCATCAAATTTCTCTGATTCTCTTTCTCTAATTTAAAAATCATGTCTTTGAATGTTCAAGAAAATAATGAAGATTATTTGACTCTGGTCAATTGGATCGAAATCGAAATTATCGCCGTACTATAGTACGTGTTATTCGAAAGTGGGAAGTTAGAAATCCAAAAGAAAATAATATTCTTATGGGAGTTGAGCTTCTACTACTTGATGAAAAGGTTAGTAAGAAAATATATAATTTATAATAAATTGTTACATCCATTAAGAAACGGAAAAAGCATATTCCCAATACAAGAAAGAAAAAACAATATATAATAAGTTACACCTTCATGATTTAATTGTGTACTTCTATATTTTGTTTAAATTTTCTTTCTTATTAAGAAATGAAAAATCATGTCTTTAAAAGTTCAAGATATCAATGAAGAATATTTAATTTTAGATCAGTTGGATCAAAATCAAAACTACTGCCGCACCATGTATAATATTTGATCAGATTATAACATGTGTTAACAAAATAAATTTAGAAAAATTTAATGACAAAACGAAAAATTGTAAAACAACTAATTAATAATGAAAAGAAAAAATTATAATGGTCTGAGGCAAAATAAATATTTTAAAAGAATATAAATAGAAAGCTAACAGAATAATTATCAACAGCTAACTAATACTCCCTCCGTTTTTTTAAGATAAATTTTCTAGGTTTTTCACACAGATTAAGAAAAAGTTGATTTTCAATCATTAGTGCATAGATTTATGCAATAAAACAACTTTTTATAATTTTAAACCAATAAAAATCCAACAAATATAATCATTGTATCTTGAAAACTGAAAAAGTGCATCAAAAAGGTAAAATTTTTATCTTTGTGAAACAACACATAATGGCTAGAAAATTCATTAAAAAAAAACGGAGGGAGTATTAAAAAGAAAATTTTATTTTGGTCCGATATTCTAGTTTTAAATAGTTTATTTTCAAATTTTTGTTAGGTCAAAAAATATTTTAAAATTTTGATTTCATCAACTGAAATCTCTTCGATGGAATAATCAAAGTTTCATGTATTAATCAGTTCATCAGATTTAAACACATGTAAGTATTTCTATATTAGATGAAAATAAGATAACACAAATTAATTCATTTTTCATATCATGAATTCAAAACAAATGTCAATTATAATAAAAATGTAAAAAGATTAATAATCTTATTTTATTTAGTGATTTGTTATCGGGTTTTTATTATTATTCTACTTAATTTTAAAAATGATTATATTATGTTTAATAGTTTTCCAGGATTTATTTCAAAAATTTTAAAATAAACTCGCGTATACGCGGGACCTAATCTAGTTACTTATATAGTTATATATATGAAAATATTTGAAAAATTTATAAAATATAGTCAAAATTTCATCCCCGCTTAATCTCTGTTTAATCCCTGTTTTTTTTAAAATCTCCAATCCCGACCCGACCGCCCGATTAACAACAGTTCTCTCTTAATCGCTTTTTACTCTCTCTCCAACTTTTCCTAATCTTTTGTCTAGATCTGTCTTATCATATCAGTGGAGATGATTGTTAGGTACTGCACCACCATCTTCCCTCAAACAATATAAGGACAAAAACGCATCGTTTCATTGATTAGTGTCTCACACAAATAAATGAAGAACCAAAGCGGAAAGTTAAAACATTCAAACAAAAGGGCTTAGTTATTAATTAAGATCCAAAAACAGCATAGTTTAGTTTGACTCACCCGATGCGAGATCCAGCGTGGCCAGTGAACTTGGAGAAGGTGAAGAGCATAAGGTCGTGGTCTTGACGGTGAGTGATGGGAGTGTTGTGTGGCCAGTAATACGCGAAGTCGTTGATCAAGAAGCCAATTGTAAACGCCTAGGTTATTTGCAATGATTTTCTGTTTAATTTTGTTTATACTTTATTTCACATCACATCGCGCTCCTTTTATTTTATTTTATTAGGATGTTAACACCCACTTTATCTCGAATTTTCTATTTCTAACATTTTAGCATATTATAAATATTATGTTTGTTTACTTTAGACTATAAACATGCATATGTATAATTTGACTCAGCGTTAAAATTTGTAAGTATATTGTAAAATCGCATTTGCACCGAAATAGGATGAAAAAATAATATATATACTTTTATACATATCTACTTTGTTGTGGTAGCATATGAGCCTCATGACCATTGATTATTTTCTATTATGTTAGTTTTGTAATTGAATATATTTGGAAACAAACATATCACAATCCTTAAAATTTTCATGTTTTTCACTGCAATTAAATTTACATATAAAAACTTGACTTCTATTTGTTTAAAAAAGCAAACTCTAACTCTAATTTCTCATTGGTTTTTTATTATCTTAATTAATTTATATTCAACTTTTTAACTTGTGAACACATTATAACATTTTGAAGTAGGATAAATCCTTTTAATAAAAAGGTAAATATATACCATTTCAAGATAAATATATTTTTACTTATATCCAAACTTTTTGATAACTTTTAACATCAAGTTATCACATACTTTATATTAATTAAGTAATTTAGTTGTGTATTTTTCTTAGTTTTATTTATATTTAAAAATATAAATATAGGTAAAGAAATATGAATAGTCATGTATTAAATATATCTTAAAAACAATTTAATGAATTTTTTTGTTATGTGATAGCCTAGATGGAGAGAGCAAACTCTCCTGTTATTATATGAACGTGAGAAGGTGAGTTTCATGAAACCAAAACAAAATCATAAGCCCATCTGTTGGCCCAGCTTCATTTAGGTCTTTTAGATGTCACAATACAAACTAAACGCAGCTTTAATACATCTTAAGCTTATACACAACATTTCTTGATCACATTTTTAGCCTCTCTCTACTCTTTTCTTGGTCTCTTCTTCACTAATGGTGAGCTTCGTTCGGCAATGTCTGAGGACTCTTCCTGAACACATGTTTCCTGCACCGCTCGAAGATACTGTCGTATATCAAATCAAACTCCACACCTGCTCGCTCTCTGTTCACAACAAACATAATATGATCCGCCTCCACAATCTTGTAATACCTAAAACATTCAAGAAAACTCGGTAAGACTCTTATCTTGTCATCCCAATCAAGATTGTAATGGTTGTAGCAAGAAGAACACTAACCAAATGCCCGGTTGGAGCGGGAGACAATCCGAGTCGCTACAAACAATGAGATTAGGATGCTCGACAGGAATCCGTGGATGAGTCATGGATATAGTGTTGAGTGCTCCATCATTGTCCTGCCAATCCTCATCTCTGCAGAAGTTTGAACACCGTTATAGTCTTTAGCTTCTAAGTGGTTGATATAGTGTCTTTAACATATATATCATTATTACCTGTAACCCTTATAAGGCAGAGGAAGGTGACGAGGAAACCGCCACTGACTCATCTGCAACACTCGGATGAAGAGCAGAGGATGGATCCCCATCACACCTGAAGGAACAGTCATGATGTCAAGAGGCTTTCTCGTACGTTTCGTCGCGTAGCTGAAGTAGAACGTGTTCGGGAATGTCTGGAGACGAGCGTTGAGCCGCATTGTTTCTTGGATCGAGAGGTCAGGCAAGATCCAATCCGCAGAGGATGAGAAAGGTCCTGCGTTTCCAAGAAGACAGTCTACAAGGCCTCGTAGACCTGTCTTCTTCCTCGACATGTTGAAGTGATCGAAACCGAAGTTGTAATAGGATTTGAGCCAAGGGATGTCGAGCCAGTCGTACATTATCACTCCAAGTTTGCAAATCTGAAGTAGAGATATAGTTTTCAGTGACTTCCCGTCCTCTGGCCTGAGAGTAGAACATTATACACGTTTTTGGATTATGATTCGTATAGCTTAAGAGGTCACAAGAAGGAAGAAAGAGAGAGAGACTCACTGTATTCCATCGAGGTAAGCTCTTGTGGTTCCGTTTAATGCTCCTGACAATGATGTTAAACTCAACACCCAGTTCTCGTTTGTGTTCTCATACCCTTTGAACATCTGAATCATATAACACATACACAAGCAAATAAGTTCAAAAACTCGATTTGATTTTGGTGTTTTGAAGGCAATTTTACCTTGTCAGAGAGTATTTGCTGCAACACACGAACAACTTGAGCACCAGCAGAGTGACCAACAAAGTGAATAGGATGATCTTCATCCCATTCTTGGTACTCACCTAGAAAGTAAATCAAAGATCTTTATCAGCACAATAGTGAATCTACTAAGGCTACTCAAAATTTCAAATGAAGAGAAGAGATAAAAAAAAAGAGTAAACCTTTTTCATAGAAACGACCAAATTGAGAATGCCCACAAGCTTTGCTGTGTTCTTCACCATAATCAACTAATCCACCTTTCAGGTAATAAAACAATTCTCTAGCCCTAAAAATCCATCCTTTATCAGTAATTCACACTGAGAATATATATCATAACAAAAAAGATTGAAGCTTTATCTTCTCACCTATCGTGTACACTAGTCAAAGATCCCAAATCAGGCACTAACACTCTCTCATCCTTCTTCTCTGCTCCAGCGAAGTATGATAAACCACCTAATCTCTGCAATGGCAAATCCAATTAATGCAACCAAAAATGAGTGTCAAAGAGAAAAGAAATGTTGTACTTGTACTTACTCCTTTCCCAAATCCGAAAATCCCATGGACTAGAACAATGGGAGGCAAATCATTGACTTCCGCTGTACTTGCTTGGTCAATTTGTTTGACTTGAATGGTGGTTTTGGGTTTGAAGATGGATTCACTCAACGTCAGAGTGAGATCTCCGGCGACGGCGGAGCTGAATATGTAAAGCGCATATAGGATATGAACAACGGTGCTCACTGATAGCTCAGCTAATTGAAGAGCTGACATAATCAACCATGGAATCATCCTCCTAAACAATTACGATCTCGTTCGTCACAGAAGGAAACAAAACGGAAAAACGCAGGCTTTTTTGAAAACCCAGAAATAAAAATCTGTTCTTTTGCTGAAATCAGAGACAACGAAGAAGGAAAATTTCCAGATTCTGATTCTTTGGATCACACAGAACAAAATAAGAAAGAAATGAGTCAACAGAGAACGCTCAGTGGCGACATTGAATGAAGATGACGCGTCGTTTCTGTATGTGAAAGAAAATGGTTTTTTTCCTCACCACACAAGTTTCTCGTTCGTTTTTGATTTTCTCTTTGAACGAACGAACGAACGAGCTCTGCGTTTTCTTTTTCTCTGCCTAACGGCCAATGAAGGACTCACACTTCATTTAACTTCTCTGCTTTGTTTGGAAAAATTATTTTCTTCTCTGTTGAAACTCGAAAGACGCGTCTGAGGGGAAAAGAAAACTCCAAAGAAGACAGTGTTTCGTTATTGATGCCTTCTTCTGTGTGGACGCCACGTGTGTATTTCTGGAAGAAATAAAGTGGGTCCTACTAAGATGTGGTTCAGCAATCTGAGCAATACTGTAACGTTTGGTTGGTATAAGTTTCCAGAGAATGCTTCATGTTTCGTGAAATCTGGCATACGATTTTGGTGGACCACATTTGAATTGTTATCAGTTATCACGTCGTTCGTACACACGTCGAAGCTTGTATTTTGTTGGGATAAAAAAACTCTATTAAAATGTGGGAAACATTATTAAGATAGTAGCTACTAGCTAGCATTTGCCCATGAAAACTAAAAGAGGATTTAAAATTGCGAAACTGAATATAAAACTAAAAGAGGATATGGTAGCTAGCTTTTATTCCACAGGGTTAACTAGAAGATCGTATCATTAATTTGAATTTCAACAAAAATATAAAATTTGTTCTGATGTGAAATCCACAAACGAAGCTTTAGGGCGATTCTCATAAAGTAAATATCAAAGTCAGAGAGGTCGAAGGATTTCACAAGAGTTTCGACAAATGACAAAGTTACTACAACATTGACAAAAAAAATTCACATTAAAACCAATTAAAGAAGAAAAAATATTGGCCAAAGAGACCTCTGCACACATCGATGAAGAATTTTTTTCTGGAATTAGAAGAAAGCCTAAGTGGAGGAAAGCACACTGCTACTCATCATTTAACTTGTACCTAATCTGTCTATATAACTATGAAAGACTTGATAAACTGATAATTTTGTTCCTGAGGTTCTTAAACTTGGAAGAATATCGTGAAGCGTCAATTTTCTCATATGTAGAAATGACAGATAGAGTATTGCGGGTTTGAGATTTATCGTAAGCTATTGCATAAAAGGTTGTCGCCTCCAAGGAGTCTACCAATACGTCTAAAGCTGGAAAAAGTCATCATCACATTTTATTATCCAAATGGAATTCCTACATACCTTGTAATATTGCATAAGGGAACATTTCTGCCAACATTTTAATTAATATTGTTGTGTCACATAGCTGTAAACTCAAGACCTACAACATATTCAAACTTAGAAAGAAGAAAATATAAGAATATGTGTTGGATACAAATTCAAAAATAACAAACTTTTGCATTTCAATCCATCTATGAGATAATGAAAGATGAAGGCAAATGGATTGATCTTGTCTTTACAATGTTTGAACAGAGTGTGTACACACTCAAAAGCTTTTTGTGTTTGAAAATACAAATAGAGATATGTGAGTAAATAGAAAAAACAAAGACAAGTAATATATAAAGTATATTACCCCAACATATGATCTTGGCAATTCTTGATCATATTATGATTTGAACAGTATTCAATTATATAATCTCGAAGAGTAATTAGATCCTAGTGAACTGAAACTGTACATTGTCTAAATTTAAGTAGAATAATTAAAAATGTTGGACGTACATTAACTATAACCATTCTTCATCAAAGAACGTACAACAATGTCTAATGAACAAGTTGTTAATTAACTTAGCCATGAAAAAGAAAATGCATGAATAAGGAGCTTTATTTGTATTTAATTTTTACTAAAGTATCTTATTTTTCCGCTTTATAAAGAAAGAAAAATAGAAAATAGAAAATAAACAAGAAATAGCAGTTTCATATTTCACCTTTATAGCTATTTTGAAGTCAATTTTGCTCCAATCTAACCCCATTTTCAACTTCAAAATGGCAAAATACTATATTTTACCCCAAAATAGGGATGATCTCATTTTCATTTCAATTTTGGAGTTCAAGTTTTTAATTTATACAAGAGTCATTGAAGTTTCAACCAAAAAAAAAAGAATCATTGAAGTTTTAAATTATTTCAGTTTAAGATATATAATTAATTATTTTGATGTTTAATTTTACTCTAAAATACAAATAACATATATTTAATAAGAAATTTAATTATGTAAGCTAATAATAAATTTTAAAAGAAAGGAAAAATGCTTTAACTAGAAATAACATCAAAAAGAAATTTATTAAAATTTATAAAAATGCTCATTTTTCTTAACAAAATGGTTTAGTTGACCATTTATGGAAAAAATATTCAAATAGTTCTAACTAAAAATAAAATCCATTTTTGTGTTGTTATTTTTAGTCTTGTAATGTATTATTAATACTTAAATAATTATAATAAATTGTGAAAGTTTTGAAGAAAAACAATTATGGCCAATTTGTAATTGGATTTATTAATTGGGTTTGACCCGATTTTTCGGTTGAATCACTCGTGTGAGATAACACGTACACCTTGTCAGCTTCTTCAATTTAGAACAAAAGACGTGAATCTACATAAACCACACTTCCATGTAACTTCATATTCGTCATTTACATATTTGGTAACATTAATCAATCGGTACATTTCATTTTTTAATAACAAAATAATCTCCGGATTTTTTTTCTCCAGCCATCGACCCCAAAAAATCACATCTACGTATGCTCAAAAAAACACTAATGAACTTTTTCTTTATGAACATTTCGAGTTTTTACCTGGTCCTCCGTAGTAAAAATAGTTACCCCAAACCCGGTTTACTCCTCCTCTTATGTCATAACAATTCGGATGATCCGCAAGAACTCTAAGGTTAGATATCGGAACAAGAGTATTGTCCCAATCAACCATCTGAAGATTCCTAACGTAAGACGCTTTTCCAAAACCTTCACCGGCAAAATGGCCACTCCCCATTTGGGTCGAAGTATGTGAACCACTAGGTCGTGTGTTCACTATCTCGCCACCGAACTGGACCATGTTCCCATGCTCCCTCAGGTGTGTGAACAAAGATACTGGCCAATACCCGACTAATGTACCCGACCCGAATTGGAGCCACCAGTGTCCGTGCTTTGGGTCCTGCGCAAGGAATTTAAATTATCAAAGATGAATTAGTGTATATACACATGTAAGAGTTTAGTGAGCTGTGTAGACCGAGCAAAGCACTTGATGGATATACCATGTGCATGGTTTTAATCAAGAATAGAGTAGTGTGATTTAAGGGAGACATGCAGTGCAATAATTAGTGCCAAAACCAATATAGGTTTTTAAATTGTTAGGAGACAATTCAATTAAAATAGTATGACGTGCAATAATTAGTAGGGTGACACTTAAGTGCTCAAAACTCAAATTACATTCCTTTATGCCCACCAAATGGGTTTAGATTTTAGAATCTAGATAAAGGAGTATAGTATTAGAGTAAACTGTAAAGTATAAACTTAAACAAGTGCTTATAAAAGTGAGAAAAAAATCTCAATTTTAATAACGTATATAATATGACGTTGAAACAGTTTGATAAAGATAATTACCTTCCAAATCAGTAAGCTTATATCAAACTGTCCGCCTTTATACGAAGAAACGGGAGAAATCGCAGCTCCAATTGCAATTCGATTGTTTGTTTGAACAAAACCAGAACATAATAGATTATAGCATCCTGTTGCCTGGTACGCATCCGACTGCAAAACATAGATATAAAAGAAAGTTGTAGAAACACAATTTTCTTTGTTAAAATACTTTTAAAAATGAAGCTTTGAAGTTGGATGAAAAGTATAAATATACCGTCCAATAGGTGAAGAATCTTGGGTTAGTGTCTCCGTACAGCTCCGGGCTAACCTGTCCGGCAGAAACAAAATTCTAAAAAATTATTAGTGCATTTGTCTAAGTAAACGAGAGATTAAGAAAATCTAAAAAAATATACAAATCAAATAGTTATATAGAAAAATAAAAATAAATACAAAGGATGGATCGCACGTGCCTGCCAACCAGCTTCGATGGTATTAAGATCGTCGGCGAAAGAACCGGCGATGACCCAAATCTGAGATAAACTGAACTCGTATTGGCTGATGACACGTGGTGTCCACACATTCATGCTTGCTTTTGCTCCGTAATATTGACTTCCCGATACGTATCCCACCGCATGCTACATTTTATTTTTTCATGATAAAAGATTATAATTTGTAAATCGAGAAAAAAAACTAGAGTATAATCTTTTTTGTTTTTCGATTTGAGCAAAGAATAATAATCTCTGACAAGTAAATTCTGTTTATGAAATTGCAAATATTTGCGAGAAAGGTAGTTTTTGACTTTTTCATATTATTGTCTTTCTATCTCTTTATTTTCTTAGGAATTAGAATTTAGAAAAGTATTGTAACCTCTGACTTCTTGATTAAACTAATCGTACCTCGTGGCCATTACTGCTCGAATCCCTTCTCACTCGCCTGATTTTCCGACCAAATCTACGGACAGAACTTGCTCTTAACATGTCATGCTCCGTTGTTCTTCTGATCGGAATCGTACCTTCTGGACAAGACTCACCACTTAAGCTCCAAAGCTGAAAATCTTCATGTGATTCGTTTTCTTGGTCATACCCTTTGGGCATTTCCGGTGGATCCTAAACATTTTATTTCAGCAAATTTAAAGACTTTGAGATTGAAACTAATTATGATAACTAAGAATAAAGAACTTGTGTGTACCATTGGTTTTTGTCCATGTAACGAGGGATGATCAAAAGCAGGCTGGTGATGAGATGGAACACAATCTATTGTATCTCCATCTGAGCTCTGAAATCATCACAATAACATTAATTTAGTCAGGACCATACATATCTATGTGGGTAAATTTAGAAACATTTTTCCCAAGGCAAATTTTTGAAAAGCACAAAATAAATAAATGCCTCTTTTCACCAAAAAAATGGAGCATCGTTGTAGTATTATTTAAAAGTTGTAAACAAAACAAAGAAAATAAAAGATAATGTTGGAAAAAATTATGGTAAGATATGAAAATAAATATGTCAAGCTTTGTTTGTAAATTTGTTTAGGGCCTCAATAACGTAATAGAGAAGAAAGAAACAAGAGTTTGGGTTTGCCTGAATGGTCTTCACGGCGGGTTTGTTGATCATCTGGAGCTGTTTTCTGATGAGTTTCAGCTTCTGAATCTCTTTTTGAGGCCGGAGAGTCTCACTTTCTTCTGTGGAATTTGGTGGAGAAGCCGAGGAGGAGAAGGAAGAAGAGAGGAGACATAGTAGTACTAAGAGAATAATGAAAGTAAGTTTCAAGCAAGAAGACATTGTAATGGCTGAGGAATGTCCTCTTTTTCACCGTATTGACTTTTTCTGAAGAGTATGAAAAACACTTTTGTGTGTGTGTGTGTGTTGTTGTGTGATGAAGATGAAGGCAAAACATTTATTGCAAGCTTGTTGTTGTTGTTCCTCTTCTTCATGGCACTGACACATCCTCCAACAAACCCATTAAAGACATAATGACTTCTCTAAAGAAAACCCAGAGCCCCCAAAATCCGAGACATTAATGAATCAACTCACTCCTCAAAGATAAATGCATTAGAGTATTGTAATAGGAAGCGTAAGAAAGTAGAATTGTGTGTTTGATAAAGTTTTGGGGCATGTGGGTTTACACATAAGGTGGTATAAATACTGGGAAGTGATGAAATCATGGAATGTTCTTTATTTATTCTTTATTACGTTTTTAGGAGGAATTGTATATTTATTAAAGGATTAAATTTTAGGGGTAAAAGAAGATTTTGATGCAGCTTTATCGTTATGTGAAAGCGGTATAAAACTATAAATCTACAGTAAGGCGAAGAAAGATGAATAAACTTAGATTTGGTTTGAAAGACTAAAATTGAAATTTATAGAACTGAAAAAAATGAATTGAAAACTTTAAATCTTGATTTTCTCAAAGATCTTCGCTTTCTTATGTTATTCACATAATCTTCCTAGATACTTCTTTTCCACATCTTTGAATACTCAGCTATTTTTTCACATTATTTATTACACTTCTTATTCCATCGTGTCCAACAAAACTAAGTTTCCTTTGATCTCTCCATTTCGTAAAATTAATTTTGTACGTATGTGTTGTTCGATTTCTCTTGAAACTTGAATATACCAAAGGGTACATTGTCCTTTGTCCCAATTATTTAACTAATTAGAAGAATATAGTATATATAATTTCACATAAATCTCAAGCAATTGGTCATACTGATTTGCAAAGCATGAATTTTAATGTGACTACAAATCTAGCATGAAAGTATTAATAGGCTCCAACATCCAAACTCCAATAGCACGTTCGTTTAGAATAATAGTATATAAACTCAAGAAATTTATGATTTATTTTTCTTAAGTTTATCCACATTTAGGACAATGTTATACTCAAGAACAGAATATATAGACAGATAGGTTTGGTTAGTATAGTAATCAAGATCCACAACTAGATATATCTTAGATATTTTGGGTCCGAATCATCCTCTATGGAAGTTGATTGTCCATTTGATATAGCCATTAACACAACTAACTCAAATCAGTGGTTTGATAATAGTATTGGTCAAAACTGTGGACCAATTTTTACCAACTTCATACTTAGTCACCTTAAAATTATAGAATTCAAGTCTTAAATCATTTGTTTTAGTCAGAAGAATCGTTTATCATAAAGCAAGTACAAAGTGTGGAATGGACCTCGAGAGTGTATTTGTTAGAATGATATTGTCCAGTCTTTAAAATCGAGGGAATGATTGAGAGAGCCAAAAGCATGCAAACATGTAATGTTGCCTTTGGGTTTCTACTTGCTATTAAATATTTATTTTCATAATTAAGAACAATATGCTCGATTGCGTTAAATGTGATTTTTTGCAACACCTCAGTAATCTCACACTAATATACACGTAAATAATAACTACAAAATCGTTTCATATGTTCCCATATTGAAAATAATTTAGATAACATAATGGACATAATGCACGATCATAATAATAAAATTGTCAAGATTATATTAAGTGCGTCTCTGTAACAATTTTTTTATAAACATGTGAATTATGTGGGCGCACGTACACACTTATTATTGTAAAGAAGATTACAAAATGGCCTTTAAAAATCGAATCAGAACGGGAATTTGAAATCGCAAATAGTTAGCAAAATGTAAATAGGAAGAAATAGTATATCATCATATCATTCTCAAACCACAAAAATCAGTTAATTGTTAATTAGGGTAACATTTTTATAATTGATAGGGAGAGAAAAGGTGAAAAAAGGGCGAAGAGAATCAAAGATGAATGTTAAAGCTAACAAAAGGAGAATGGGAACAGTTTGATGTAAGAGCAATGATAGTGTCACTAAAGCAGCCCCGAGCTCAGCTTTTTCCAATTTTATCTCGACCCATACCAGTTACTAGTATACTTGTTAATCATTCGAGATCATTAATTAAGGACTATTATGTATAACTATTTTGAAACAAAGTACGATTCGGCGTTGGGGTTATTAACTTTGATATGATGAGTCATTATTTACAAAGCGGCGTGAAAGGATAGACGTTAATGTTTGGGCCATGCATAAACTTTCCTAAGGGGTACATCATCATGGATTCTCATTGTGAGTTGTCCATAACCATGAAAATATTATATGCTGCACAGATTCACATAACGCGTACTAAGTAAAAGAAAGAAAAAGGTACTAAGATTACACATTGGTCAAGCGATATCAAGATTACATTTTAAAGGATTTTTCTAGTGTTATAAGAACGGCTACATTGTCTTGGTTTAGACACATTTTAATTTGCTGATTTCTACTAATTGGATTGTCTTCCGTTTCTCATAAGAGAATTAGACATTGTGCGTATCTACCACGACAAATTAACCAAGTTAGATGATATCGTATTGTTAATAGTCTTTACCCTTTCTTTTGGAGTCCCACTCGGATCTTTATATGAGAAGTGATGGATTCTCAACTCAAAAACAGTTGACAATACATTAGAAAGTTTATATCATATACTAGCTAATTAGTGTTTGACTCATCTCCGAATTCAACATGGGATATTGCAACACCACATTATAAGTATTCAATTCCACACCACCTTGGAGGTGCATGGAGAAGCCTAAAATGCCCTACAATCTCAAAACCACCACTTACAAAATTAAGAGTAAGGAGCTTTTTTGTGGGGTCAAAAGAGTTAGGAGCTTAAAGTCCTAATTTAACAATTAGTACGTAGAGGTTGTGTTCAATGATGCCAATCGAGAGGAGGCAAGCAAGATTACTTTATCATCCACGCTTGGAAAATACGTCTAGGTCTTAAATCCAGCATAACATATCAATATATGGTTTCACTTGCAACTCTATGTCTAAATTTTAATATGATCTCCTTCCTCCAGAAAAAAAAAAGAAAAAAACCTTATAAGCTTGATAAGATATAAACTATGGCTGTGGATATGTGGAAAAGTGAAAAACTACAGGTTCATATTTAAACCCTAATAAAAGTGAGAAAAGAGAAGTAGATCATCATAAGCACTTAACTATAACATTACGGATAATTAAGAAACATTTAAGACTAAACAGAAGTTGACATGTTTGAATTAGAATCGGTGTCCAGACATTATCCATCTAGCATACACAATATCTCCATCCCCTCTTTTTTTTCTTGTTCTTTTCTTTTGTAATCCTAGATTAATCAAATTGAAGATAAAATAACAAGTAAATAATAAACCCATAAAAGTCAGAATAATCATACATCGTTCCACGGAATCCCCAAATATCTCTCCTTAACAAATCATATTGGTTTAACGAGGGTAGAGAGTGCCAAACAATTATCAGCCATTTGAAACAAAACGCCGGCGGATTTATAAACGACGCTATGAGTCTCCCGAGCTCCCTGCATGGCGTCCTTGCAAGTATCGTAGTCCGTCAACGCAGCGCTAAGGTTAATGTTGAGGCCAAAAGAATCATTATCCTTAATGTTCGAAAGGGCCGTGTCCAAATTGTCAAAGGCGCTATTGAAGTTTGACATGCAAGTCGAGACTCCTCCGATAGGTTTCATCTCTTTCTTGGCGATGTCTTTGGCATGCCTCGTCCGCCTCATCAGCTCTCTGATGGCCACATCCGTCGCTGCGTACACGTTCGTTTGACCCTTTATGGTTCCTCTGCACAATACCGGGAACTGCGCCACGTAGCATGGATCAGCGATGGAAATCCCCAACGCGGCCGCGCTTTGGATCCAGGCTGCGGCCAGGAGGAAGATCGTTGCAAGGACGGCCATTTGGGGAGCGATAGACATCGTGGTGTGTATAGATGTACACGGAAACGTATATATATTGTGTATATATACGTTCTTGTGTCGAAGATTGAAAAACACCAGATGGTGGATTAGGTTTGATGAAGAGGAAGGAGGTGAGTTTTATGCAAAAAAACAATCGGATATATTTAGTAAGTTTTTGAAGAAAATTGACACCGGTGAATTAGACCGGTAACATATCTATTTTGGTATATGTTTGTTAGTTGGGTATGATAATGGTTATTGTTTTGTTTTTCTATTTTAGGGGAAATCAAGATTTATTTTCCAGTGAAATTGAGTTGAGTTTCAGTTAATGACATGTACAGTAGTTTATCAATAATATAATTAACGAATACTAAAGAATGATCAAGTTTGAACAAGTGGTAACTGATAAGATAAGGTCAGGTGGATCTTTCTGGATCAAACGACTAACAAAGAATGAACAACTTATAGAGATTATTGTTAATTTGTCATTTTGTTGAGTGGCATTTGTGGTGGTGGTTTTTAAAAACTTTTTATATTGAAACGTAATCTAAGCATATAATTATGTTGTAGCATAATATGCATGATACGTAATTTACCAGAAGCAAAATATCAGATTACAGACGGTTTAATCACACAAGTTAAAAATGATAAAGCAATAAAATTTTACAAAAAAAGGTGCTTTTTAGTGGATTTAAAATGGTCATAAGATTTCATTTCTATCTTAACTTGCAATCTTTTGGATAATTGTAGTGGTATGACACATGACACAACAAAAAGAGAGTGACAGATGACCATTCCTCTACATTTATAGATCAATTCATCATCCTAAACCAAGACAGAGATAGTGAATCCAAGGGGTACCATTCGTTTTACCTCACAGCGACCAAATTCCCCATGAAACCACCACTTATCTCATAATGGCGAGCACTTGAGAAGCCAGCTTCTAGAGCAAGACTCTCCAGCTCTTCTCCTGCCAAAAGAAGGACAATTCTCAGCTTTGCTATAAGCCCTTCTCTAAAAGACTAAAGAGATCCAAAAGTTTGAATCTTTCATACAGTAGAAGCTTTCTATAACAATACGTGAACTGAACTGTGAACAAAAATCTCAAATATACAATAGATGGAGAAGGAACCTGTAAGGTAGGCATTGATGGAATACTTGAGATATTCATACTCCTTTGCAAGACCATAAACAGTAGCCACAGGGACAACTACATTGTCAATCATCCAATCCTTTGCACAAACCAAACCAAACCAAATTAGTTCCCTCAAAACATAATTAAAGAAATTCACATCTTGCAGTCAAAGTAAAAAAGAAAAACAGAGCACCTGCATAAACGTAGTAACCGATTGGTTGCTCTTATTGAAATCAAGTATAGATACTCTTGAACCTGAAAACACAACATGGATACAACTAAATATACACCACAAAGACTACTATATAAGTAAAAAACCATACCTGGTTTCAAAACCCGATACATCTCCCTCATGGCTCTATCTCTGTCAACAACGTTTCTAAGACCATAACCCATCGTTATAGCATCGAATTCACAGTCATCAAACGGCAAATCCATAGCATCACCTTCAATCCACCTACAACAAGACACACACACACATTGATACATATCAAAGTGAGTCTTTTTTTCACAAGAGATTGTTAGATCACAACAAAAAAGCATGATTAGTTTACCAGTGCTCACTCTATACACTTGTAACAAGACCTCCCTCGAAGTTTCTGTCTAGATGATGCAACAGCCAGTTGTTCATACGAGAAATCCAGACCCATCACCTATACATATATTAACAAATTATATCAAAAAAACAAGATAATCCAAAGTAATTATATTCAGTAGCCACATTTGAAGAAGACAAACCTTGCCTGTTGAAGCAACTTTCTCGGATAAGAGAAAAGCTAAATCACCACTTCCACAGCACAAATCAAGCACGTTATCTCCTTTTTTCGCTCTGATTTCATAATTAAACGAACCAAAATCACGAAACAGAGAGAAAGATCAAACACGGGAAGAGATTGGATTTGTGGATAACCCTCACTCACCCGCTCCAGGAAACAGCCATGTTCTTCCAAATTCGATGCTGGCCTAAGCTTAAGAGATCATTCAACTACAAAACCACAAACAAACACGACGATTTTTGTTGACGAAAGCTAAACGAACATTTCGAGAAGAGAGAGAGAGAGAGAAACAAAAAGGATTGATTCAAACATTATCGTAAACGGGAGCAATGCGGTTGAAGAGAATCTGCCGTTCGTTCGAGTTGGAGCATCTAGCAGCCATTCTCCGTCTTGATCGGGAACCCACCGGGGATTGGCCGGTGAAGGCCACCGGGAAAACGACACCACTAAGCAGAGCCGCCATTTTTCGGCCGCGAATTAACGATCATGTTTTTGTTCCAATTACTCTCTGATTTGGTAAATTCTGATTTCATTTTGTTATTGGGCCGACTTCGGGCCCAACAAGTTTAGTTTCAGACCGGCCCCAAAAGTCAACGTCTTTTTGGATCATGCTATTGCTTACCAATTTGTACATGTACAAACTACCAAGGAAAGGTGAAAACTCTGAAGAAACTTTAGATCACGAGAAGACAAACATTGGAAGAGATATTATAAACATAATTTTTATTATTAACTGATAATACTAGTTACACAGCATTTAACTCTTCGACCTTTTGTTACATGTGAGTGAGTAAATATTAATTCATGTTTCCAAGCTTCTTCACTCTTTTTCCATTTTTTCTTCTTCTTTTGTGGTGTTTATACGAAGGCAACATGTCAATAAATACCCCCCCTAATCCATTTTCCCAGCAACGTGTTAAATAAATACCATAATTCATCATTCCTCGGTAAAGAATGATCCACTAGAATCGTCCATCATCGCGAAAGGCATGTTCTCTGAGGGCTTCCAATGGCGTTTTCTTTGGTTTATAAACCAATTGTTGATCTGTTTCTGGTCTAACCCCGTTGCATCAGCTAAAGCTATCTTATCACCTTCCTGTAAATTCATTCAAATGATAATCATCATCATCCATTTCATTAGTTACTTAAAACTGTAATTCATATAAGGTCTATTATATGAGCATTATAATTAAATGTAGGGCTTACAGTAGGGTAAGGCCATTTATAATGAGTATTCCACCAATCGAGAAGAGCTTGTCTTGCTTCTCTTGGTAGCTTTCCTTTCTTCTTCTTCTTTGAAAACTCCAGCTTTAGTGAACTTATACGGCTTCCAAATTTACGTAGAAGCCTGTCCTTGAGATCACGGTCCTCGCATCTTTGTTTCCCATCCTCTGCTACCTCATCGCCTCCACTCAGTTCCTCATCAGATGAAATTGCACCATCCTCTGTACACAAAATGGTTATAAGAAGAAAAGAAAAACAAATCAGTAACTTTTAGACCTAAACGTATATCACATGCACGTAGAGAACTTGTAAGAGAATGGTTAGCAAGTAACTCGACAACACAAAAACGGTAAATTACTTGAGTCACTCTCTATAAAAGTCAAAATCGGCTTAAACGGCTAAAAGTGGCGGCTAATCAAGAAGAGAGTAAGAGGGGGGCAATAATGGAAAAGAAGAAAGAAGAGGGGAGAGAATATGGAGGAGGCACACGATGGTTGAGTGCAGCAGTCAAAAAAACCGCCGCAGTGAATAGTTACATCCATTGTCATGTGTCAGTAGAGAAGGACTAATAGTCTTGTCTTCATGAGGAGACATCCCCCTTTGGCCTACCTCTATCTTCCAATGGGTATACGACACGTGTTCATAACTCATACAGGTTGTGTGAACCCCCGGAATTAACGCTCCACCTCACATTTATGTTCTCCACACAACACCCCAAAACCCAAAATCTCCTTTTCACTCACTCTCTCTCTCTCTCTCTTAATAAATTCCACATTTATATATGCCCCAACGACTATATTGACCCACTAAACCCAGCTTTCCTGACATCAAAGATGTTCAAGAACATTACCTGATTTTGCAATAGTTTTGACTGTGTGACAGAAGATAGAGTCGGAGCAAGCAACCGTGGTTACTCCGAATTAGAAGGTCAAAAGTCAGTTATACAAAATAAATGGACTAACGTACAAACAATGTTTTAGAGAAAGTCTTATGTTAAAGATATAAATTTAACATAGTACAGTCCACAGATCTTTCCCAAAGAGGCAAGGAAAGAGAGGTATGCCACATCAAACAGCTAGTTTCAATCCAAATTTATAGTAACTATTTTGTACTAAACACTACAAGTAAAGAGAGCCAAATAAAAAGTAAGAAACATCTTAAAACACTTAGAACATGAGCTGATGGCGATAAAATATGAGGGAGACCATTGAAAGAAAACTTTTTAGGTTCATATTGTATACACGTACACAAATATAGTTATATGGCAAAGAAACAATAGCTAGTTTGAGTTTGAGATATGTTAATACCAATTTAAGCTATGCATTGACTGGTTGAATAAAATTGTGTTGACCCACAAGAAGGAAACATGCAAATAAGTAGACACGTGCAAGTAGCGTGCCGCAGAGAGACATAATACGACCCACCAAGGGAAGAAGGCAACAAAATGAAATGACAACCACTATATGCAAAAGAGTTGAGAAAGATGGAGAAGCATAGTCACGGTCATTATAGATGATTTTTATTTGATTGTAGTGTAGAGAACCCTATGTCTCCTTTTTTTTTTCTACTTTAATTTCTTCACCAAATCAAAAACAAAATCTTAAGAGAGGAAAAGGTTTGAGGGGTCAATGGTGGGAGATCGCTAGCGGAATCCACGGGAGTCCATGTGACTCTCAACCTCTACTTTAAACTAAATCCTCTCTCATTCAAGCTTTTCATGCACTATGTTACTATTTTCTCATTGCAATATTCTAATCTTCTATATCAAATATGCAAAACATATATGAGAGTTGCATGCAGCAGTACTTATGATAGTAATATAGGAATATTGGTTCAGATAGAAGAGAGATACTGACCCAGAAAAGGTCAACCATCCTCTCTCAGCAGCCAAATAAAGAAATAGAAAATCTATATGATCAAAGAATATTGGTTGCATATATTACTAGAGAAAATTAACATGAAAGAAACCAAAGAATGCGACTGATCTAATTAAAAGTGCAAGCTTCTATTTTTTTAATGTTAGTTTATGCTTCCTGCAGGTGAAGAAAACTTGGTTCTCCAAGCATAAAGAAAAAGATAGTTAAAGCTCATAACCAATATTAAAAAAAATATATATACACAGATGAGATCATCAGAAAGGCAAGTTGTACTTCGAACAATTTTAAAAACGATTAATCATAAACATTCGCCCATCATGGGAAAACCTGGAGTGTGACCTATTTTTCAACCTTTTTCAGTTGATTCTCTACGCAAACTATCTGACTAATTAATAAAAACACGTTCATATGTCAAATTCTCAGCAGCTTTTGTTTCCACACTAAACAATATTATCAAAGTACAAGTGAAACCCTGCAAAGCTGAAAAGTCCACTGTTTTATGGAGTTCGTTTCTTTACAGCTATAGCTCTTTCAGATGGAGGCTTCAAACTAATTTTATTATGTAAATATTCTAAGGCAATATTAGTATTTCCATTAAAGATGATCAGTTTACTTGTTATGACCACAAATTATTACTCACACAAAGAGACAAACTTTTCTATAAGCATTTCATGCGTATACAAACATAAACCTAAACCCCTAGAACTGAGCTACTCTAGTTTATTACTCACATGTCCAACAAGACGCCAAAAGCTTTAAACCCACGACATGCAGATGAGATCAGACACTTGGCAATGATACTACTTTCGATGATCAACAAAACAATCTCCATGGGTTTGTTCTCATACCATTGGAACTTGAACTGGACCAGAGTTAAGCTTCTCGAGAGTTAATTATAAATGCCTCCAACGTATTCATATTGTAAAATATTTTTCCTTCTGACGACAATGGATGTGCTGAAAATTTACTTCTATCCAACCAAAAGTACTTTGAATTGACCTAAAAGAGTGTTGGGCTTATTGGTTATGATAATCATCTAGAGTCCTAAGAGATGGTAATCCAATAATTAAGAGAAGAGAGAAAACACAGTTTTAATTAATCATGATATTCTAAACGAGAGGTCAAGAAAAAAAAAGCTCATGAAATAAGAAAAATCAACAGAAACTTATTGGTAAAGGTTATGACTAGGTTTTTCTGTCGATGGGGTTTCACTGGAAAAAAAGCAACAAGTTGAAGGAAAAAAAATAATTCAGTACGCAACAAGACTCTGAAACGTCAAAATCAGAATCTCTTACCACAAACGTTTGTTGCTTTCTAAGATCATTTTCTTTCTGACAGGGAAAGAAGATAACAAAAGAAATAAAATAAAAAGTATAAAGTTTTTAAAAATGTATGATTTCCACAAAGATCAACAAGAAAGAAAGATATAACTAGAAGAGAATCCATGGCTACACATCAAATTAAGAATAAAATAATGGCACAACACTGTTCCAAGGTAAAACGGACCTTAAAGCACAACCTATGAAGCATTCCAACACACAAAGGAAAGTGGCTATGGAGATGAAAGATGTGGCTCCGTCATTCAAACATCTCCACCAAACCTAGGGTTTGTCCTCTTCTTCTTCTTTTTTTCATCAAAAGAACCTAGGGTTCTTCAAATCATTAATCTATTCATTTTTCATACAAATGATCATGTGAATCAAACCTAAATTAGTCTAAACGAATGTTATATCCTTCCTGGTTAGTGTGGTAAATAAGTCCAACGAGGATATATAACAGAGACACACAGATCGAGGAAAACATATAAATAAAGCTAATTAAATCAAACAAAGATAAGAAACATAAACTAAACACCAAACTGAACTGAACTAACTCAGCGAGAGAAGGACAATCCAAAACTCACCCGAAAGGCTCCTAGCAGAGGCTGCACCAGTGCATAGGTTCCGAAGCTGCATCTCGATTTTGTTCAAGAAGGTCGTTGCTTCATCAAACGGCCTTGCAAGATCCGATTTGTACTTCACCAATATATCGCAGTATGTTTCCTGTAATCTCACCACATAAAAAACGACTTATTCAAGTGTTGACTAAAAGGAAAATAAATAAAAAGACATATTCAAGTTAAAAAATCAAGAAAATCAAGAAAGAAAGAGAAAGAGACCATGAATTCATCAAGCTCAGGATCAACTCCGAAGCAAGACGACGGAACAACGTCTCTTTTATACACATCGCTCTCCCTTTGAATCTCCTCCAGTAAGCACGCTATCTCCGGCGGCGCTCCGACCTGTAACAGATTTAAAGTTCTTGAGGCATCAGAAGATGATCAAAGTTCTTGAAAGAGATGATGAAACTATGCACAAGTGACTACGCTGCTTGTGAAGTTTATGCTATAAGAACAGCATAAAAAGACACAAATACAGAACGCAAATCGCATGAATAGTGAAGCATCAAATGATTTTTTTCTTAATAAATCACCTTTTGGCAATCGATGTAAGCTTGGAGTAATCGAGGATACGAAGGATGACAAGCGATTTTCGACTTGATGATACTGAGAGATACGTTATCATCGTTTCTTCGGATCTCCGGAGCGATGGACGCCGCCTCCGAGGACAAAGCGGAGGCGGCAGCTGAGAGTAACTCGTCGGATCCGAAAACATCGGACACGCGGTTATCACCGGCGGAGGAGCATAGTAAGGCCTGGTAATCGGAAGGAAACATCAGATTATCCGGCGACATCATCAGCACCGCCTTGTCTGAGTAATCACTGGCCGAATGGAAACCATACATTCCATCCATTAGTAAGATCGCCGGTGACGATCTCCAAAAATAAAAGAATTATATGAAAACCGCCTTGCTTAACAAACCTTTTCAGCTATAGAAATGAAAATACTTGTATGGTTAGTGTTTTGAGAGAGAGAGAGAGAGAGAAGCTCAAGAAGTGGAGGCAGGATCATATTTTCTTTTGGCGTATAAAAAAAAAGATAAGAAAAAGAAAATGTAAAATTTAATGAAAATAAAGTGTAATTACGAAAAGGGACATAAGCTATGAGGCTCATTCTCTCGAGCTTCAGGCTTTTATAATTTGAGATCGATTAAAACAAAATTTAGTTAAAACTTAAAGAAATCGATAATTTTTATTTTTATGTAGTGTAATTTCTATAAGGTTACCAACTTTTTCGATGATGAATGGTGGTGTCACACCATTCCCTTAAGAAAAATATAATTTTGGATGATTCCCATCAACATTTCGAGAACTATAATGATCTAACCACATTTACTTATAAAACGAGGTAGTTGGCCCGCGCCTTGCGCGGACATGAACTGTTTTGAAAAATAATTATTTATAAAATAAAAACATTTTTTCATAATTCAAATATCACGATAATTTAAAAAAAAAACTGAAACAAAAAAGAAAACTATTAAAATGTGGACATAAAAATAATATAATATTCAAATCAAATCAAATATTTTAGAAAACTTTATTATACTATACAATAATCAGTTTCATATACTTTTGTTTCTCAAATAACAATTTAAACCTATCTATTTTATCTTTTTCTTTATCGTTTACGTCACATTGTATCTTTCTGATTTATTTTGTTTTCTTTTTATTATTGGTTTTTCATCTTCTTCTCCATTTCTTTCTGATTTCTTCATCAACTTTGTGTTCTTCTTCTTTTCCTTTCTGATCTTTCAATTTTTCTCTTCTTCTTTATCTTCTACATTTTTTACTTTCGGTTTTTCTTCTGCTTCCCCTCCTTCTTTACTCCTATCTTCTCTTTCTCTTGCTTCGTGATTCTTAGATGATATAATCAATGTATCCGTTTGATAGTTTAAGTTTTTAAGGATTCTCTAAATATTTTATATCTTTATTATATAATTATGATCTCTTAGTAAATATCTATTGGTGTTATTATCTTTTGATTCTGGATTTGTATAATTGTTTTAGTTTTTTCTATTGTCAATGTATTTTTTAATTGAATGATTTTAAATTTGATATACTTTCATAAGAATTCATTTTTTTAAATGCACCATAAACTAAACCCTACATCCATCAATTTAAACCCTAACCCCACATTATAAACTTCATATATCGTATAGCATAACCCCACAGTACAAACCGGATTTGCTTTTATTTTTTTAGATCTTTTAAAAGTAGTTGTTGCTGTTTTTTTTGAACTCTTAACCCTACAATAAACACCTCCTCCCATCCATACATTACACCATAACCACATAATAGACAACTCTTTTCAATTTAATGATTTTTTTTTGCTTAATTTGGTGTAATTGTTGTTGTTATACAAAATTTCAAATGATATTTCAAAAATTTGCAATGTTATTAACTAATCGATATAATTTGAACAAAATATTAAATAATTTAGTTGTTTAACTATTTCCTTTATCCTTAAATTTTTCAAGAACTAAGTATTTTTAAAATACACAAAAAACTAAACCCTACACCCACCAATATAAACCCTACCTTCTAAACCCTAACCCTACAACAACCCTCCCTCCCCCCCCCCCACACCCACACCATAACCATATAATAGACAACTTTCTTCAATTTGAATGAAATATTTGTTTGCCTTAATATGGTGTTCTCTCCTTTTTTTGTTTTCCATCATTTGTACTATTTTTTTTATTCTTATTCAAATTCCCAATCTCTTTTTCTTCATCGTCGTCTTTTTATTTCTTGTTTCTTATTCCTTTTCTTTCTTTTATTTACAATTTCTATTTTCAGTGGGATTCTGTTCTTATTTTGAGGCTTTCTGTTTTTAGATATATTTGTTAATATACTCATGAATATTTAACTTTTTATTCCATTATTTTATTATCGTCGATGTAAGTTTGCATAAATTTTTAGTCAATAATTTTTTTCTCATATATTATAATTATCTAAATAATTCAAATTTTAATGATGAAACAAAAAACTAAACCCTACACCCACAATATCATCGCTAACTCACATTGTAAACCCCTACCCCAATAATAAATTATACATCCATAATATAAACCTACCCCACACTAAAATAATAACTAATATATTTAGAAACACTATAACATATCAAGTATCATAATCAAACATCAATACGCTAAATTCGTTTCTTTTGCAACCTATACTACATCAAAATAAGAACTAAAATCATAAAACTGTATATGAAGATGATTGAACTATAACAGTTGACGAAATCTGATTGTACATACATTATTCTAAACTCATACTGATATTTACTTCTTTTATTTGTACGGTTTTATTTATCTTCTTTGTATTATTTCCTTTGTCTTCCCGATTTTCCATTCTTATGATTTTTATATGTTTTCGTCTTTTTCCTCATATTTTCCTTTTTCTAGTTTGTCTTCTCTTACTTTTTTCAGTTTTTCTTTTCAAGACCCATCTACCCTTAACACAAAAGTATATTACACATAAATAAAATATAACTCTATAATTTTATACGTTAAACGTTAAACTGTAAAATCAAATTTGGCATAAAATAAACCAACAATAATTAGCATCAAGATAATAGAAAAACACGTTGATCATAGGCCCAAATAATTTTATCATTACATTTAATAGTTAAATAAATCTCAAATATCCAATAAAATTTAAATTATGCACTGAATACCAAATATACAACTCTTAGTTCTTAGATCAATCAAATCAAGAAAAATCAGAGCAACTAAAATTATGTAAGGAAGTGTAAAGAACGAACTGGAGATGTAGCATACATGTTCACTCTTTGTAAACTTGGCAAACAGGTCATTGGGTATTGACCAGTCGAAAACTTCATAATTCCCTCTAATTCTTCCTTCATTGGTACTTTTAAGAAGTACACTGTTACCCAATCGGAGCTCCCAATGAAACACAACTTGAGCAGGAGACTTTCCGAATCTTTTGGGTTCTTGAAAACATAGCTCTTAAGCCACGTTGTTCCTATAGATCCCAATGGCGAGTATGCCTTGCAATAATATTCAAACAATGTATAAGGTATGGTGCATATTTATTCAAAAGGCATAGAAAAGTAAATCGTTAAAGGCATACAATGTAAAGGTATGGTGCATAATATTCCTATACTACATAGCTTATCCTCCTTTTCATCAGATAGTATAAACTCTAGTCTTTTAGCAGAAGTTGCGTAATCGTTAATCCACAAACGCAAAACTTTGACCAAAATTCCAGATTCGTGTGTCCTCGGCCCAAGTCCGGAAACGGTGTATACCTCTTCCTCAAGATCTTATCATACATAAAAAGCTTCTTGTAGGTGCCTGATTCAATAAAGTCACCACTTAAGATTTAATATGAACTATGAAACTAATAATATGGATACTGAAAAAAAAAACGTTATGAATATATTAATATGGATACTGAAAAAAACAAAAAACGTTATAGTCTCGCCATTAGAATTAGGGTTTCATGAATATTAAGTTGATATATAAAAGAAAAGATGTTCATACCCTCTATTTTTGGGGAAGAATATTTCTGGCTTGGGACCATATATGAACTTCTCGATTCCATCAGCTTACAAATAATGAATTTTCTGTTACAAAAGTGAGAGAGGAAGAAGTTAGAAGCGGATCAATAGATGATATTGACAGAAATAACAAATAATCAGTTCATAAATAGTTTAATAGAACTAAGATCAAACTAAAACAATTAAGATACATGAAGAGAAGAAATATGAGATCTAAGAACTAAAATTACGTATAAAAAGAGGAATTGTAAATCGTAATGAGAATTGTGTTGATTTTCCTTGTTCGTATCTATTTATATAAGACATGGTTGGTTAAGAATCTTAGGGTTTACTTTTTATTTATCTTTCTAAAATTTATTAATCTTCCTAAAATTTATAATATCTGCCAAAAATAAGGCGGGGATATGGTAGTTAACATATTTATCTAAAAATATTAAAAGTCAATAATCAAATTCGTTTTTAATAAAAAAAAGAAAAATTCGAAGATTTAATTGAAAGATTTTCATTAAGGGTAGTTATGTAATTCCGCGGCTGAGAGTTAACATGGTGCCTCCATTCGAAATTCTGACTTCGCAAATAATAGTATGATTAAATAATATATATATAACCACAACTTGATTCAAAATATTTGATCAGTTTTATATGTGAACCAACTCGATAAAAATTGTTTACCCGACTAAAACTTTCAAGTAAGTCTCGACACTGAACTAGAAAGACATGGTTCAACTTACTTTGCAAAGACCAAACAACACAACTAGCCCGCAACACGAATAGTTCCACCAATTTTTCTTTTATGTTTTAAAATGTGTATTTTTAAAAAATTTGTTAACGATTCACAATACTACTTATTAGGAGATTCAACATAATAATAATAGTATATCGTAAAGTTTGGATAGAGATAAATGAAGATTGCACCACCTACGATGTTGGACATTTCGGTTGTACGGAACAAAGCTGGTTTCGAGGAGCGAAGGTCCGTTCCTAGATTAGACCCTACGCAAAAAAAAAGTTATTCTTTTGTTGTAATTTTTAATTAACATCTAAATTAGTATCTCTACTAGTAGTATTTGCTTTAGAATAGTTAATTTCTGTGTAAAGCAAGTTTGTGGATAAAAGGAAAGATAAAATAAATGAGGGTCTAGGCATAGCCGCATAGGCGCTGCAAAATGTAAATGTCTTAGCATATTTAATGATATTCTGATAAGTATATCATTAGATTCATTTACTGGATACCTTGTATTTTTCTTGTATATAATATGGTTGGTTAAACTGAATGTGGTTAATGATATACCCTATCCAAAACTGACGATGTTGATATATATACAT